CCCGCCGCGCCGCGCCGCCGGCTCCATGTTTTCCATCGCCAAGATGGCGCTCCGCCATCGATGCTCCCCTCCCCCCGCCCTGCCCGTCCTTCCCCCGCCGCCGCCGCCGCTCCGCGCTGCCCCCGCGGGAGCCCCGTGCGGGGAGGCCGGGCTCGGCGTCGCCGCGGACCCTGCCCTGCCCGCGGTGAACCCGCCGCGTCCGGGCCGGGCCGGAGCGGAGCCGGGCCTGGCGGGGCAGAGCGGGGCCTGCCGTGACTCGGCACTTTGGGCGGCTGGGCCCCGATCCCCGCTTCGCGCCCCGCCGGGCCGCGCGGTGCCCGCGGAAGGGCGCGGGGCGGCCGGGCCGCGGTGACTCATTGAGGCGCCGCAGCGCGTCACGTGGCTCGCTAATTTCGGTCGCGCGGTGCGCGCGTTAATGAGCCCCGCTGTCCCGGCGATGCGGGGATTCCGGGGGCGGCGGTGCGCTGCTTCGGGCGGCGACAAAGCGCCGCTGCGTGAGCCGCTGACAACAAAGCGCCGTGCCCGGTGGGGGGGGGGGGAATGCGCCATCCGTCCCCTCGGCCGGAGGGGGGGAGCGGTCGTAACGGAACGGAGCCGCAGAACGACGCGGTGCTGACTCCTGGCTTTTTCCTTTGGCAGCCGGTAGAAATAGATATGATTGTAGGGAAGGACCGGGAGGGTTTCTTCACCAATGGCCTGACCCTCGGGGCAAAGAAGTGCTCTGTGATCAGAGACAGCCTCTACGTGGACGGGGACTGCACGATGGACATCCGGACGAAGAGCCAAGGTGGGGAGCCGACGTACAACGTGGCCGTGGGCAGAGCTGGTCGAGGTAAGGGAGCTTTCGTCACTCCGGTGGCTCAGTTGAGAATGTGATCCTAAACGTAGGCCCTGGCTATTAAGGAGCCCAAACTCTTGTGTTTAATGGCTAACCGGGCGGGGGGGTGGCGGCAGGCTGGCTGATGAACAGCATTTTTGCCTGAGAATAAACGCTTGCTTTAGCGTTGCCCATACACGATCCCAGCTGGGCAGCGGCTGAAATGTCTTCTGATGAGCAGAACCAGGCTGTCGCTCAGGTGCACTTGGGAAGTGTTTCCCTGTGCGGTATCCAAAGCTTGTAGTGGGTTACCACAGGGGTATATTAATGACATGTAGTCAGACGAGCATAGTCGTTGTAAATGTCTCACCAGAAAGTTTGTTCTGCAGAGATGTGGGTCTCTTGTGTGAGCTCCTTCTGCTCACTGTTGTAAGAAGTGCTGCGCTGACTCGCGCTTCCTATTGAGCTCTCTGGAGCCTGTCTTCAGGCAGAAAAGCTTGTCCGGAGTTGTATCATGGAGAAACCTGCCTTATGCTAGTTTGCCTGCTCCTTGTGGTCCTCCTCTAACATCCAGTAACACGTGTTCTTGGAAAGGCACCAGGCTCAAATATGAAAAATGTGCCTTGAAGTATTGGCTACAAGTAGTGTGCATTGTGTTCAAAACACCCAGAGTGGTGGTTTTGGCTGTAGAACAGATTGGTGACATACAGTCAAATTTTGCTCAAGTTTTCTATTTAGAAGCTAAAGTTGGAAGATAATGATGCAGAAATGGTGTTTGCAGCACTTAATAGAACAAGCAAAGTTCTGACTCCTTGCTGCAAATAGTGAAAACAAATAGTTTTAGGCCTTTTGTGAGAAGATTGCTATGGGGATATACAGTCACCTGTAGGTAGGCTGACTGCAGCACTTCCAACTGCACAGGATCTAACTTGGGAAACAATTACCGTGCTTGTGAAAGCACAGTGCTGGCTGTGTCCGTGTGCCTGCCAGTGACCTCTGCTGGCAAGTGGTGTATCCTGCTGGAGAGCCTTACCACGTTCTTCTTTGCAAGACAATTGGGACACTTCATCACCACAGTGCAGTGATGGGGGAGGGGGGCGGTCAGCTTTAAAGTCCTCCCTGCACTTTGTCTTATGAGAAACGTTAAGCACACGTTACTGTTTCTGCCTAACAAGTCTTTGTCCAAGTCTGACCATGGGCCTATTTTGCTGGCGTCAGGATGGTTCTAGCTCTGAGGCTGACCAGCAGCAGCCACTGCAGATAACTGTGTTCCCTCTTCTGCTCTCAGAGTCACAGCTCTCCTACCCACACCGCTGCTTTTATTCCTGACAGGGCTTTTTTTCCCCTCTTGCTCTTTAAGATGTCACCAGGGTTTCCTGGCTGGGTGAGGATGGATGGTGCTGATGGTGGAAAAGCACTGCAGTGCTTTATTGAGATAGTGGATGGCACTTCTTTCTTAAGCAGTGAATTTCTGGGATGTACCTGGAAAGCTGTGCATGCTTTCTCCTAGTCTCGCCTACACCTGTGTTTTTACCAGACTGCTAGCTTAATACCCAAATACTAAATCTTGAATTTGAGTGTGTTTTTTGCACTGCCTAAAACTTGCGTTATTTCCTTGTCTAACACACTCTTTTTAAAACTTTTTTTTCTTTTCTCTTTCAGTCTTGGTCTTTGTAATGGGCAAAGAAGGGGTCCATGGAGGCGGATTGAATAAGAAGGCATACTCAATGGCAAAATACTTGAGAGACTCTGGGTTCTAGTTGCTAGGCAGACTGTTAAGTATTAGGGGAAGATTGCTATTAAACTTTCCTGGCGGTGAGCTTTAAACCTTACATTCTGGAAACTTTATTAGCAATGCAGGGTGATGGGGTATGAACCTGTGTCTCCTTTGTATCCCTTTGTTGGTGGGGAAAGGTGTTTTTTTTTTTTTTTTTTTTTTTTTTCTTTAATTCTGTTCATTTCTGTTTTGTTTCCTTGTGTACTCCAGCATTGGTTATAGTCATGGGAAAGGAAGGTGTCCATGGAGGGACACTCAACAAGAAAGCATATGAACTGGCTTTATACCTGAGGAGGTCTGACGTCTAAGCAGCCTCTCCCCATCCACCTAGCAACTGTCTTCATCACCACCCAATTGTGCTCAGTGCTACCAGACTGTAGATGGTAGTTTGTGTTTTTTATTTACCCATTTTCTAATGTTGTAATTCTGGCTACCCTTTGTTCATTTGTATGTTAACCGCTGTGTGTAACTGAGTCCCATATCTGGCACCACTGCTGCACCACAAAGATGATATGCATGATACCAGAAAAACTCTTGGGAGGGGAATACGCCAAGCGTAGGCTTTGTTTTGTCTCAGCAATTGGTGTGTACTGAGAACTAAAACAACTTCGTAAATACTAAACAAGGTGCCGACTGTACAATCTAATTTGATCAATGCCTCTTCAGCACTTTGAGCAATTACACAGCTCACAAGTCTTCCTTTCACAGAGCATGTTTGGGAGGAAAAAGTGCATGCATATCTTCTGTTCTTCTCGTGGTGTTTCTTTGTTTTGTTTTTTAATCCACGTTTGCTTACACCTATTTTATAGTGCCTGGTTTGTTTAACCAATTTGCCACTCAGAAGCTATTAATGTTAAATTAGTTTTGTTGTTGCACTTTGCTGTAGGCTTGTCTTTCATTTTTTCTTCACGTCTGAAGCTTGTACTGCTCGTTAAGTGCAATCACAAAGCTATCAAAGGGTACAGATGCACTTCCTCCCATGACCTTACAGCCACCATCCCGAGTGACTCCCCGGGGACATTCCATCATTGCAATAGCTCAGGCACTTTTTTTTTTTTTTTTTTTTGCCAGCTCCTGTTCTGTAGTTGAACTATAAAAGGCTGCCATTATGGACATTAGATATCCCAACATAACCATCTGGAGCGTGTCTGGTTTCAGTTTTTCATAGGACCAATTTTAATTTGCAGCTTGGGGTTGTGGGTTGGGTGGTTCTGTTTTTATATAAAACTGCAGTGTCATTGTGGAGAACTGCTGCCTTCGGCTGCTGTGGGAGCGCTGACCGACTCCGGTCTTTCTGCCAGATCACTTGCTGGTTACAGAGTCTCGCTGCTCCAAAGCCGCTGTTTGGATGAAGGCTGGTAGTTTGAAAGCTAACCTGTCAAAATGATGCCATTTCAAATTTAAAGCTCTCATTTGGCCTGTCACACCCTTGCTGCAGAAATCACGGAGTGAACTGCCTTGTGCGCCCATCTGACGTGTGTAACCAAATGATCCCTTCAGGCACAGTACTAACTTGTATGTCCATTTAAAAAGAACTACAGAACTCTGTATACAAAAGAATAAATGGGAGATGGTATTGGTTGGAATAACTGACTTGGCTGTCTTGTGATGAATTTTTTTAATATGTATTCTGTGCCATACTTATTGTTTAAAAAAAAATTGAACTGTTGCTATTGTGAGATGGATTTTAACTGAGTACGAGGGTTTCTTTTGAATGGCACTACTTTAGGGACATTCTAGTATTTGCTTCTGTTGTTGGGCCTTGTGGATAATGTACAGATTTAAACAAATTCTTGTTGCTGATTTGTCCATTTCTTTCCCTGCACTTTGTTACATCTGGGATACAGTCTAACTCATCTGAATTAATATGCATTTCAAAAAATGCCATAACTATTAAAAACACCTTGTTTACAGACAGATGAAATAAATTTATTCCAACCAAACAAAATTAGGCTATTGGTAATTTTTTCCACTCCCCACACCCCCTTCTGAGGCCCTTCTTCCTTCTATAGCTGAGTACTCCAGTGCTAAATCTAAGTTCAGTTGTCAGTGTCACAACTGACAGTGTAACAGCCGAAATACGAAATGCCAAGCCTTTATAGGAGGCCACGCAGGTGTTAGGCAGGTATGTCTGAATTAGGGAAATGATTTGTCAGACTTGAGCAGGAGGGGATCCCCACCTGTGCTGCAGTGGTTCTTCTGCCATACACATGCATAATTCCTAACACTAAAATTCAAAATTGCATTCATATTCAGACTGCAGGATTTTTAATTTTTGTGTTTAAGTTCTTTCTGTGATGAGGCTGCAGCTGAAATTCACAGTGATGGCACCTCAGTAGCAGCAGTGTTGTCAGCAGTGTGCTCTGACCCCCAGTCCAGCACTGTTTCTTCCTGCCCTGTTCTCAGCAGCACCTCCACGTGGCTTCGTGTTCCTGTTCCTATTTCCCAGTGGGATGTTGCTCAAATGACGTTTTAAAATGCAGCTGTTCATTTTCCACAGAATGGTACTGCGCACATAACTTGGGAAGATCTACCTGAAATACATTTCTCAAGTAGCCTGCATGAGCAAACATTACTCCTTCATATTTAACTATTTCCAGATTAACACACAATTTTAAAAGAGCTTAAATTTTTTGGTGCTGAAGGTTGGAATGCTGAATCGTGATCCAGGTGAGAAACTGTATTTCTATTTTTCCTTGCAGAAAGTTACTGAGATGCATAGAACACTTGCCTTAGACATTACAAAGTTCCATGTGAGTAACTGGTTCTCTCTCTCATTCTGTTGGCACAATGAAATCACATGCACTGCTGTGTACCTCTTGCCCTTCTCATGGTGATTAGCAGCATGACACTGCTCAGGGTGCAGCCTGCCAGCTCCTGTGCTGTAACTCAATGCCAGTTCAGAGCTAACCGTCTGATGTGTACAACCACTCACTCTCACAATTCACCATTCTGGATTTAGTTAAAGGATTCAGAAATGGTGACAATTTTTTGTGCTCGTGAACTGTTCCTTTTAGCTCTTGCTAGGCACTGTTTTTTAGAAACTCGAGTCACAGACTTGAAGTACTGCATCTTTCCTTATGTCAGCAGTTCCTGGCCATAGGGCAGCTAAGCACAACCTCCTTTTTTTTTTTTTCCTTCAATAGCTTTGATGCGTTGTTATTCAAGGCTTGAATAAGAGAACAGAATTTATATTAGAATTATGTTTTCAAAAACAGATTAGTATGCACAATTTTTTATACTTAAATCTATACAGAGAAGAGACAGAATTGCTATAAAGGTTTTGGGGCTTGTTTTTTTTTTTTAAAGGGTAGTTCTGAAGTGATTCAGTCCCTTCAGACTCAGGAAGGTAATTCCTACTGCCTCAACTCCTCACAGCTTCTCCCTCTTTCCCCACTTCCTTGTGCCTCTGCCAGCACACCCCACACAGGTAACAGAGAGCTGAATTTATGTGCAGAATATCAGGGCTTTACAAAGCTTGACTAGAACAGCCTGGAATTTCAGTCTCTTACTTTATCTGTAGTACACTTAGGAAGATAAATGTCAGTGTGCTCACTTTCTGTGCCCTAATCATTCACAGACAGGTTTTAATTACACCACCCACTCAGACTTAGCCAATGGCTGTTGTAATTTTAAGATTAATAGATTCAAGAATAGATTCATCTTTCTTTATTTCAAATTCTGCTAGAATTTAGAATAGAAACATCCAACTATTCTGAACAGCAGAAGGAATTGCTTTTCTTTTTTAGTATTTTGGTCTATTTACATGTGGCTGACCCATCATTACTGTTCATTCAGAGGTTGCCCAGGCACTCTTCCACCATTCCACACTGTCGTTTACTGGTAGTGCAGGGATAGGGTTGTTCTGCTATCTCCATCGTTTCTCCATTCCTTGAGACCTGTTGAAGACACTTGTGACTTTCCCCTAGCCATTTTTTACCATACTTTTCCCACCTCCAACAGGAAGCACTTCTCTTTCCATTCAGGGAAAAGCCTTAATTCCTATCCTCCCTCTTTGGCTCCTTTTCAGAAGTTCGTTCATGTTACATAGTGCAAAGTTAGGTGCAAAGTTAAAGGAAGATATTTATAATGATCACAGTATAACTATCTTGTGATAACTGTTGATACTGCGCTGTTTCATACAAATTAAATGCTTCCTGGGGCCCACTAAATATTTTAGCTTCAGGCATCAGTTATAAACTACTTGCTAGATTTTTTTTTTTTTTAAACCAGGTGACCAAGAATGAACTTCTTTAAAGCACCACATTGCTATGCAGAGGACAGCTAGAGGCTGAACTTGATGGATGGGCTTCACGAAAGAAAAACATCTCCAGCAACTGGGGGTCAGCTGTTGGTGGCATATGGTGAGGAAACACTGCTGCTTCATGTTGATAATGGGTAGGTCATAGTCTGAAGACAGATCTGTGCTTATCTTTTCCATTAGGTTTGGACAGGCCCCAGCTTTTGAGACAGATTTATCCAACAAGTTTTAGTGAAATACATAGATTCTACTTAGAAATGCAGAGATGTCAAACTTCCAAAGTATCTGTAGTGAAGTGCTATTCTTTTCATTTACTTTCTCACTGCCAACAGACAGACTATCTGTGGTGCAAGGTAGGGGCTGAAGGGTATCATTAGAACATTCACTACCAAGGCCTGCTGAAATTAAATTTCATGAATACCCTTAGGAAATGGGACCATTTAGGAACATCACTGCCTGCTGCACACATTTTCTCTGTATAGGAGGGAGAGCAGCAGGTAAAAACTGATTTTAAAAAGTCTTCTTTCACTCTTTGTCATCACAGCAAATACTATAACCAGGGTTACCTACGGCACACATTACCAAGTTTACTTCTGTTGACGGTTCTCCATCTCTTCAAGTTTACTTCTGTTGACGGTTCTCCATCTCTTCAGGTTTTGAGGTACATGAAATGCAGTTCTGAGTAAACACACGTATTCATTACACAGCAACAGCAGGAACTTACTTTAAGAGACATCTTTCAGCTCAGAAAATTTTCAGAAGTCAGCTTTGATATTTGATCAGAGACACATGCAAGACAAAGCAGTATTTTACACTGCAACACCGTCTGTCTTTATCCCATGGATGAGCTGCTAGTGGCAGTGGTCTGAAGATCAATCTTTTTTTTCATTATTATGCTTTTGCTGTGCATCATTCTGAAAAATAAACTTTCCCTGCTCTTTACCAGTCCTTGTGAATTGATTTCCATTGCTAGGCTTAAGAAAGGAAGGCACATAGCCATGCTGTCTATTAGATCAGTAACAATAAAGGGAAGCATCTCACCTGTCATCTCCTCAGCCTAGGATTTGGTGCTTTCTGACCTCCAGAACACACTTCAGCTGTAAAGGTGTCAGCATGATGGGCAGGAGAAAATATCAGCAGTATTCTGGTCTTCCTTCCTCCCCCTCCCCCCAGGTTACGCATACAGACCTGGACTTCAAGCTTCTCCTCAAACTAAATGAGCAAGCATTAAGGTTTTCATTGCAGCTTAGTCCCACTGCATGGTGTGTTATCAGCACACAGCTCTGCACTGTGATACACGGTACAATGCACGTTAATGTTACTAAGGGATGTCCACAATTGCACATTATGGATCTTCAATTGTACACGCCAGTAAAGACAGGCAAATACAAAATGAATTTAAGTAATGTGAGAGTTAAATAAATTCCTTTTGATACTTAAAGTGGAAAACATGTTTATTAACATTCTTTCAAGCTTTCCTTATTCAAGGCCATATAAAAAAAACTCTGCATTTGGATTATACATGTTTTGTTACTCTCTACATAGTTACAGAGGCATTATATATAATTTACTTTTCTCATGATACACTGGTAAGTACTGAGCTTTGTTAATCAGGTATTTGAAAAGAACAATTTGTCTATATACACAGTTTATCAGACTAACGTAGCATAAAATGCTCTTCAGTAAGAGGTATATGAGTTGAAGATCAATAGAATACTTACCTAAAATTCTATGTGGAACAAAACCTCCTCTGTTTTAGTCACCCCCTCCCCCAGCTCCCACATCATCACTGAACAAACAGACCATTCGTCGCAGCAGCAAACAAAGCTAAATTAACATGTTAACAATGGATCTTATTTTGTGAACTACTTTAAACTAAACATATATTCTACGTTCTTTATCCTAAGAACTGCTCAACAGGACAGCTTACACTCAGCTATTGTGGCAATCTTCAAAGAATTATTTGGAATCACTAGTTTATGATGAAAGCGGAATCTCTTCTGCTTTCTTTTGATAGACCAGCATATAGAACCTGTTCTACATTTTGTTTTTGATAGTGGTGACAATTTTTAGGAAAACTCTACACAAACATGCAAATAGACTTTTTTGTTGGGCTTAAGGGGTAACACATACCATACACATAATAAATACTGCTATCAGTATGACCCAGCTGTAGCTACAAAATTATTTCCATCTAAATCCCATTTCAGCAGATACCAACGTTTAAAGTAGCCTGTGTGAGATTTTTATCGACATATGCTATTAACATTATTCATTAGCATTGTGGAGTCCAGTTAAACTGTCTTGAGAAGACAAAGCGTGACTGAATACCTGAATCAAAAATAAATCTACCTGTAATGATTAAACAAACCATAGAACAACTACATAAACCGCTCCTACTGAAAAAACCAGGTGGATTAAAATATATTACCTACATAAATGTTTGTGTTGTATAGCCTCAAGAACTCTTTTATTCATTCACTTTTCGTCATGAGTAGTCTCAAACAGTATTTGTCACTCTGTAATCCCTTTCATCATTGGGCTGGAGCTGAACTACTACACTTTCTTCATTCACTCCATTTTCTGCATCGCTGCTATCAATATTGTCATTGTCATCTTCCTCGTACTCGGAGGACTCTGTCATATTCTGATGGGAATGTGATTCTGACAGAGCCCCAAATGACTGAGTGCTAACTGAGGCTAATGGTCTAAGCAAGGGGGTATTTTCAGATACTTCGTTTTCTTCTTGACTGCTGTCTGTCTCAGAGTCAGAGTCCCCCTGAGAAGGGACCACTTTCTGCTTACAAACAGGACACGTTTTTTTTGTTTTTGTCAGCCATGGGTCCACACACTTGCAGTGATATGCTGTTAGAAAACAAAACACGTGTAATCATTATCTAATTAAGGAGGACAATTTAACAGAAACAGAAATCTAGCAGATTAAGTAAAATAGGAATATTATAGAATTTAACTCAAAATTGAGAATTTTACTTAGAAATTCTCTGACAGTTGGACTGCCCATCCTTATGTACAAAGCACCTAACAGTTGAAGATCTAGGACCTAAGCAGTAAGGTAAAGACTCATTTCCTCTACTGCATGGACCTGACAGCAGTCCTGCAATGGGCCATGTTTGACAAAATCACCACCACCGAGTTCTGAGCGCAACCAAGGCAGTGCTCTACATGGCTTCAGGACAGGCTATATCCGATCATTCAGGCTCTCTGTCACTAGTCATGAAGTTTTATGGTTTGATTGTCCTGGAGAAAGTGAAAGCCTACTTTTATGTATGTAAATAGGAACTCCAGAATCTGCTTCCCTATTCAATACAGACATTTAGGGGACAGTGTCAAGCTCAGCATTTTTTTCATATACACATCCAGAGAAAAATGCAGAGTGGTAGTGTTAGCCCTTTTTCCTCTTAAAAACAAAAAAAGAGTTTGCTCTTTTCCCAATTTGCATATGTGCTCAGGTAAAATAAGTAAGTAAATAAATAAAATTATAAATCTAAATCTCCCGACATGGCATTTTAGACAGCTATTTTAATGCAAACACCAGACCTGAGGTGCAGCTGCTTACCATGAGAGCACGGAAGGATTCTGAGCTTGTCTCCATCCTCATATTCATCCAGACAAATGGCACACACATCATATTCATCTCCTACAGCACACATGAGAATCCTTTTAACTTCAGAAGATTTGCAATAGGACTTTCCCAACATGCGCATATAGGTTCTCTTCCTGTTTCATTTACCTTCCTGTCCTTGCAAGGGGCAGGTTCTTAGATGCTATGTTGTTATTTTACTATCTGTATTCCCTTATTAGGACTATAGCTCATTCACTTTCCCACCACATAAATAAAAATAAAAAATGTTTTCAACTGGGAGAAGTGTTCTCTCTGCAACAGTCAATCATTCTTATTAAAAGAAAGATTAAATTATTTAAATTTAGGATTCATGTTACCACACAGGTACTAACTAATAACTTATTCAGAACATTTTAACGAAAAATAACAAAGAGAAAAAATAAAACAAAATAAATAAAAGCAGTTTAGTTACATGAGAGAGTTTACATCATTCTGCAACTTAGATACACTACTGCCAGTACTGACATTATGTAGTGCTGTGGCGTATGATATGACCAAACCGTAAACAATTTTTAGCATTTTTTTCCCCCCTTTTTTACAATATGGTCTTTCATCAGTCCAAATTCTTTCAATTTTCCTGGAAGATGCTGGCCTTCCAAAGCTTCCATTTACAGCAGCAGTTAATGTCTCTTTCACACATAAGTTAATTGCAAACAAAGCTGTAAAACACACCAAGCATCAGCATTCTCTTCCAAACGTGTGTGTCCTTGAATATTCAAATACAGTATTTAGACATAACACTTGTCCTGTCCTGGGCACCACTGAAAAGAGCTGTTTCTCTCTTTCTGCACCCTCTCTTCATGTATTCACCCTGGAGGTATTCTTGTGAGCTATTCTGCAGGCTGAGCAGTCCCAGTCTCAGCCTTTCTTACAGGAGAGATGCTCCAGTCCCTTCTTCACCTTCAAGGCCATTTGATCAACATAGCCTTCCAGATGTGGACTCTCTCTCCTTAGCTTTGAAATGAAATCCCACAACTTCACTGTTACTTGGCAGAGGTACCGTGGTACAAAAGAAACTTCAGCGTAACTTATTCCACCTGTGTGTATGGATAGCTGTTACGACGCCATAAGCACTTTAGACAGATGATCTTCACTAACACAGTCCACAACTGCAGCAGTGTGCCAAGGCTGCGCTCCCCTGACAATGGCCCACATGGAGGTGCCCAAATCACGGGGTGCCAGAAAGAAGTTAGGCTGGCTCAGCCCATCATCCCACTGCGTCCTCCCTGTCACACGACCAGAAGCATGTGCCAACAAACAGATCTGCAAGCTTTCTTATTACTTGACTAACACACATTTGGTTGAGAGACAGGCTAGTTCCAGGATCAGGTGATCCAATGCATGTTTGTACATCCTGTCACAAGTGCAGTCATCTGCTCCACATGTGGTGCTGGCATGCCTGCATCCACGTTATCTGGTGCACACTTTGTAGCAAAGGGAAGCACCAGTGATATATGACCCACTCTGCTGAAACGATGGACACCCCAGATACTGCTCAAGAGATCCTGGGGCATGCCCCAGAGATTTGTTCACTGGCAAATGCAACCTACTGTAGAGGACCTGCTTTAGCAGCGGGGTTGGACTTTGTGATCCCCAGAGGTCCCCTCCAACCCTTACAGTTACTATGCAACAACACACGTTCAGAAAAAATGACAGAAAAAAAGCAATTGTTTTTTCAACAAGGCCTATGCTTGAGTTCTCAAGCACAGAGTCCAGAAATCTGACAGCATTTTGGCCAACTGCAACAAAGACATTTCCCTTGTTCTCATCGAGGCTTTGTATCCAGCCAGGCCTACCTCATCCCAATTTCACAAGGCTTCTTTTACTGCACAGTAGGTTTGAACAGGCTCTGAGCCCAACGGCTTCGCCTGCACTGGCCAAACTCATCAGCTGAAGTCCATCTGCTGAATTTCTCTAGGTTATTAAATAAATTAATTAGCACCATTACCTGATCCTGGCTTAGGGTAGGAAGGCAAAGCCTACGCAGCAGTGAGCCTCCTCAGCACTCTGAGGCCTGTACACTTCCTCTGTGTGTCTCACTGCCTCCATCACTACTTTCCAAATTAACTTCCAAGTTCCACCTCCATAACTACCCTGACAGCAACAGCAGTCACCTCTGCTGCTGCAGATTTTCACAAGCAGGCATGTTAATCACTGGTGAATTTGCACTGCCAATGGTGGGCAAGCTGCATTTTGTAGCTGAGAATTTGCTCTATCAAATATCATTATTGTGTTCTTTGTGTCTATTGCAGTTTCCATGGAAATAAATAGGAAGCATTACTTCTGGAGCAACCTATGTATCATGCTTAAATAAACTGCAAATGAAACAAAAGTCTCTTTTACTTGATACATAAATACAGTGTTTTCAGAAATACAATATCCATCGCATATATTACACAGTTGTGTGCTGATGAGCACCAAAACGCAATCTGCCAAGATTTTGGCAGTTTTTTTTATTAAGCCTATGCTGTACTGTGCAGTCAGGCAAATGGGTCAGTAATGAACAGTAATTAGACCAGTCATAATCCCATTTGCAGGAAAAAAAATAAGTCAGTTTAGGAATACTACAGAACTGTAATTACTCTGGAACAGATTTTTAAAATCCATTAAGATACCACTATTGACCATTATTTCCTCAATTTCTGCATGTATGAATCTACATACAAAGATATGTACATGAAAACTCATCAGCCATGATACTCAAATATGTTTTTGCTTAAAAACATTATTTTTACAACCTACTACTTGTCACAAACAGGGCTATTTTTCTCCCCAGTGTACACAAAGGCTGACTACCCAAAATTAAGCTCTTATTTCAGACTTGGGGGTATAGCAACTCCAAAATTCCATACAAAGAGCTTTATAGAAACCACAGGGTATAACATCTATTAGCTTTCAATGAAAGTGCCTAGAATCTTCTGTGACAACAGTATTGAGGATAAAACTCAGCTGCACATACAGTTCTTAATTCACTTGCCACAATAATTTATAAAATCATTATTCAGAAGTTCAGTTCCCTGCTCATCACAGTAGAGCAGATCAGTAGGAAGAGCAAATGTCTTTCTTTCTAAAGAGATGCAAACATTTACCATTTTTTGATTCAGTGCAGTCCTCTTTTCTTTTTGGCAAATATCCGTTTCTTTCCAGCACACTGTCAAACTAAATATATTCTCACAAAGTATGGATGTTTAGGATATTTATCTGGTACCTAATGGGTGTCTATTGTACTCCACTGCACACAGAATACACGAGTTTGTCCATATGCCGAAGCATGTTTCTCCGAGTAGGGTATATCCATGATCATGTTATATGGACTATAAGTAATTTAAGTATCACATGAAATTAACAACACACACTGAAGTCTGGAGAGTTTTCATAAGCAGTTAACTTAAGCTTAACTTGCAAGTGCTCATTAGTGTAATTGTGCTTTGGAACCAATTGGGGAAATAGTCACTTAATGATTTTACATGACGCTTTTTTAGCTTCTACTCTAGATAGAAGCAGCGTATCAGAAATAACTTCTTTACTGTAAGGGTGATGAAGCACTGGAGCAGGTTGCACTTGCTACTTAGTCATATAATCCTGAGATAGTTATTACACTGCACACATGCACATGATTATCTGACAAACACATTAAATGACATTTTGTGAAGCCACACACTGATGGATTTCTTGTTCTTGTTTTTTTCTTTTCTATAGTTCTTTTTTTTTTTTTTTTGTATTTTTGTTACAATAAATTTTAAGAGGGAATCACTAAAAGGAAGCAAAATTAATATTCACTGGCTCATGGTAATCTTTTTCAGAGTTAATTTTAAATCCATAGCAACAGATCATTATAGCATTATCGCTTTTTTTTTTTTAAGGGTTTTTTGGGGTTTGGTTGGCTTTTGCTTTTTTTCCCCTCAAATGAGGCTGACTAACATTGTACAGAAACCTGTATCCACTCAAACTGAACTCCTGCTTTGCACAAACTGACAGCAGTGTTATTAATAATGCAAGGTGGCTTTATCAAGGGCAAAGAATGGTAAGCAGTTCTATCCTTGAATCCAAGCATATCCTCTAATGTGGTATTGATGCCTGAGCAAATCCCTGTTGACACGTGTTACGTAGAAATCAATTAAGTACTCTTTCCAGCTTTTCTTCTCATAGGTTGTAATAGATCGTTCATAAAAGCAACTAGATGGTAAGATTTAAAAACAATATAATTTTTTTCTACTTTTAAAAGCCAACAGATTGCTACAGAGGATGACTGAGGACATTTTTAAAATGTAATTAATAAAATAAACTTGCTACAGATTTATTTCTTATCTCACTGTTTTATCTTGAATACAAATAATTTTTAGAAAGAATCGCAATAACAAACACTTTGGCACTCAGTTTGAATCACTCTCGCCCTCACAAAAGTACTGTTATTGAATGAAAGGAACACTTCTTTGGAAAAGCAGTTAACTTAAACCCACGAGACAGCTTTGCCTTCACAGTGTCTATAGCATCAGGCATCTTACATACCATTAGTTTTTATCCAATTCCAGATAAATTACAGGTATAATCTACCACAGTGACTGACTGCTGTTGTCATTGTTAATGAGAGAGCAGCAAGGAAGATTTGAGGAATTTCTGTATGGACTTTGTGAAATATTTTCACCCACAGCACACGTGTGGTGTCCGCTCTATGTCTGCTGAAGAAATGTCAGAACTCTATTCCAGTGAGAGCAAGGTCAAAGTAGCTTTTGTGCGCGCTTTCAGCCTAACTCCATTATCATTTTTTAACACACTCAAAATTATCTCCAAAATCCCCCAATTAGGGATTTTTTGTATTAAAACAATACATTCTAATTAGACAAAAAAAAAAAAACAATCCACTTGCCTTTCTTAAATTTGTGTATGGGAAGTTTCTTCAGCTGATCCTTCCTCAGCCGATTCCTTCTTGCCCTGTGTCTGTCTTGCACAAATTTTGTGATCTGGAAACATGAGACACAAGGAAGACAGTGTGAATGGCAAGTTAGAACAACAAAAGAACAGTAAAGATTTTTGACAAAGGCTCTCAAATCAAAAAGGAAGTGACGCTCAAGCTGAATCACCTCTTCTCTCATCTCAAGGATGAAGACAAACAAAGCCTAAAGGACATCCCTGATTACCACAGCATTTGAAAGGGAATATACAGAAGTTTCTTTGGAAAAGAAGAAAGTAAGAATAATATTCTCTCTATAAAATAGTGGCTATTACTGCAATCTCCTACTGAGGTATAGTGGCATAGAGGCGTAATTCAGAGCTAAATAAAATTTATAAAACTCAACTAGTTTTGCTAACAGCTGTTTTAAATTATGATGAGTTCTCTCAAAGGATTATTCCCATGTTCATCAGTCCTGTTTTTACACTTTAGTCTGGGGAACAGGATAGAGATTTTACTTCAAGCCATGGACTCTCGCTGTCTTCAGCCATACTAAAGATTGTTTCCATTTTCTTAGTAGTCCTTAATCCCATTTCCATTCAGTTTCTAATCCTGACACGTTACATAACTTTGTTTTTCAAATATGACAAAAAAGTGGCCTTAACCAAGGCAAACACACTGACAAGTGGCTAAACCCTGGCTGACAGAAGCATGGAGTGAACGTTAGTATTACAGAAATGTTTATTTCACATTGCACAAGTAGTCTTTCCTATATACTTACTCAGAATTTGTATCAATAGGATACCACAACTTTCAAAATCACATATCAAATAAAAGATTGTTTTAATTCAGAGTAAGAAAAAAAAAGTCCAGCACTTAAAAGCTAAATTTAAGAAAAAACTGCATCTATGGCTTCTGCTCAGAGAAATCGCTTGCGCCCTGAATGCTAACACTCATCTCATCCCTGTAACATTTTTAATATTGCATCTTGTTAGAATCAGAAAGATCAACACAATGGAACAGTAATATAAGAGATGTAATAACAAAGGGACTAATGCAACAGAAAGGTGCTAGAAGGAAAAAAGGACTGCTCACCCATCTCAAAAGGTCTAGACTCACGGGGTAAAACTCCACAAAGGAGGGATCTCCAGAAAGAGATCCTTCCACAGTGGCAGTCAGCCCTCAAATGGGATCTAAGAGAGGTGCAACCAGGCTGCACCCCTTCCACTCACACCACTGAACTGCCTTCACCCTGTGCTTCCAGGGCTGACTGGGTCCTCTCCCCAGTGATCCATCAGTGGTTCAGGTGGGGACTAAGCAGTTACCATACACATCTGCTGTGGCAAACTGCTATCTTCATAGTGAGTGGAGCACCTGCAGTTCTAAAGATCAGTCTTGTGGGATAATGAGTAATGATTGAAATCAGAAGGTCAGTGAAAACACTGATGGATTTTACATTTTCTCTAATTGATCACTTCTCCATGGTTTTTTGAGAGCTGCCACGATTTTGACTCCAAATGTGCTCATGAATTTCAACTAAATACACAACTGATAGTGTAAACAACACTAACACAGAAAGAAATATTTCAAAAAAAATTTTATGGAGCAACTGATAGATTATTTTTTATCAAAGGAAAAAAAAATCTTGCAATTTGGTCAGAGTTCAACAGAGATCATAAAACCATAGAATCACATAGGTTGGAAAGGACCTCCAAGGTCACCCAGTCCAACCATCCACCAATCATCAATATTTCCCCACTAAACTGTGTCCCTCAGTACCACACCTAAATGTTTATTGAACACTTCCAGGGACACCGACTCCACCACATCCTGTAAGCCCGATCCAGCGCCTGACCACTCCTTCAGAGAAGAAATTTTTTCATAATATCTAACCTGAACCTCCTAAGCACAACTTGAAGCCATTCCCTCTCATCCTATTGCCAGTTATGTGGGAGATGAGGCAAACCCCCACGTTGCCACAACCTCCTTTCAGGGAGCTGCAGAGAGCCATAAGGTCTACCCTGAGCTTCCTCTTCTCCAGACCAAACAATCTCAGTTCCCTCAGACACTCCTCTTAAGACTTGTGCTCCAGACCCCTCACAGCTTCATTGCTCATCTCTGGATACACTGAAGGCCTCAATGTCTTTCTTGTAGCGAGGGACTTAACGCTAAACATGGTACTCAAGGTACTCCAGTGCCCAGTACAGGGGGATGATCACCTCCCTGCTCCTGCTGGCAGCATGCCCAATTGAGAACCTCTGTAGGTAGCATATATGTTGTAAGATATACACTATATACTGTAATAGGCTCTGAGCTTGCTGGCTATTACTATACCTGTGTGAAAAACCAGTGCAAGACCTGTGTTGTGGAACAGTGAGACTAATATTAATTAAGCAATACCAGGTTGGTGAAGTGGGATATTCTCAGTGTATGAGAATGCACGCTGTTCTTTGTGGAGTGAAAAGGGAAAAGCTTATGCAGTGATAAGAGTGCCAGTGAGGACAGTTCTCTGTAAGCAGTTACACAGTAGGTAGAACTTCCTAATGTCTCCTCACTTTCCTTTTCCAAAAGTCTCTGTTTATCATACTAAGAACAATAAAGAATTATAGGTAACAACAGTATAGTTATATACAGCACACAAAGCTTTCACTGTTCCTTTACTGTATCACTTAATTTAACTTCAGTAAGTGACAATTTTGTGACAATCCGTTTGTGAGAAAGGTTGTTACTGAATAGAGGAACTTACCATAAATATGACAATGAGAATAAGGCAGATTCCTACTATTATTAGAAAAGGAATTAAGTAGTACTCCAAAGGAAGACTGAACTCTGGGATCAACACAACGTGGCCACTGTAGAGAGAAAGATAACATTTTCTAGAAATGTTAGAAAATAATAAACTGTAAATTAAAGAATAAATACAATGGAAAAAAACCAACAACCACCAGGATTAGTACATGTTTCATTGCAATCAATAGCAAATCGAGTCACGAAATAACTTACCCCTTTTCATACGTAAATTCTTCTTTAAGAGAATTAGCTGATGCTTCCCCAATGAAGACGGAAGGAATGTCTATCTTCTTTAAAATTTCAACTGTATAAAAAGGAGAATAATAAAACCGCTATTATAGATACTGTATGGGCACTCTTAACATGTTAAGACTCAAACATTATGACACTCTCACAACATGAGGATATATTTTAATAACACAGACTGATGCACATGTATGCTAAATTTGTATGTCATATAAGCATATTTTACCTACTGAATAATTTACAGGCATTACTGCAGGTATATAAATCAAAATTATTAACTGCATTTAAAGGAAGCATAAAAAAAAAGTATTCTGACAAAAACAGACATCAGAGCATGTTTAACTAGAGCATTAGTTCTTACTGAGTCATGTTACATATCATCCAAAATTTCAGGCAACTTATATTTTATGATCTGGTATGTACATTTTAGTCACTTTTTGTTCGTTTCACCCTAACCATTAACACATACATCGGAAAGGTCAAAAAGCAGAACAAATTCCACATCTTTACTTCAGTTTTAAGAAACCAAATGGAAGTGTCTCTCCCTTTTCCAGTTACTTATGAAGATTCATAGTAAGCTCAGAGGATGAAACTCAAATGAAAAATTATCAAAAGATAACGTCCCTGTTCTAGAAAATTTATTTCCTAGGCTTCAATTTATGTTTATCTGCACTCTAAGTCAACATCAAAGTATTCAGGTTCCACAAGCAAAAGCACACATTGCTCTATGTCTCTTCACACTGCTCAAGTGCCTATTTGTTGTATGTTGTTCTACAGTTGATTTCAGAGTGAAACCCAAAAGTAAGTTTCACATGAGTTGAGAACTCATTAAAACCATATTCACATAGCTTTCTAGACTACTCAGCTTCCACTTAGTTTGCTGAATGTTAATTTCCTAGTTTGCTCAGAGGTGTTTCTACTTTGAAAGAGCTTTGATTCTTCCCATTTATGTTCTTGCTGCACAGTTGATAATCTTCAAAAATCAGATAAAATAAAGAAACTCCTTAGAAAAATCAGAACAGTGTTTTAGACAAAAAACATATACCATAAAACCAAAACATCATTTTGACTACCGAGTACAACAATGTTCTGAGTAGAACCAGTCCAAGAAAGGTCAAGTCAGAACAGCTAGTAACAGAACAAGCTTTCCAATTTAATCAGGAGGACTTTAAACTACAGTTGTCAGGCAGGGCTTCTCAAATCATCCCACTTTGAGGCTGATGATGGTCATGGATGCCCTGGGATGGAGTTGGATCACAGGCCAGTAAGACAGCACCAAAGGTGCAGGATAAGGTAACTCCAATAGGTAAATCAGCCTCAACGGGAGACCATCTCAAATGCCTGTACATCAACGCATGGAGGATGGGAAACATGCAGGAAGAGTTGCAGGCATGCATGTGCTTACAGGGTTGTGATGTCATTGGCATCATTGAGATGTGGTGGGATGGCTCTCATGACTGGAATGTAGGAATGGACAGGTATAAACTGTTTTTCACAGGCAGGGGAAAAAGGGGAGGGGGTACTGCCCTCTACATCAACAATCAGCTGGAGTCCATAGAGCTCCACCTAGGGATAGATGAGGAGCTTATGGCTTAGGGTTAAAGGGAAGGCAGAGGAAGGAAACATCATGGTGGGAGTCTGTTATAGGCCCCCTGACCAGGAAGACTGAGTGGATGAGGCCCTCTATGAACATATCGGAGCAGCTTCATGTTCACAAAACACAGTCTTCATGGGGGATTTCAGCCACCCAAGTATCTGTTGAAGGGACAACACAGCAGGGGACCAGAAATTTTAGAGGTTCCTGGAACATGCTAATTTTCTCTTCCAAGTGGTACAGAAACCCCATATGAAAAGCTGCTATGCTGAACTCTGTCTTCACCAATGAGGAGGGGATGTTGAGTAATGTGAAGCTAAACGACAGTCTCAGTTGCAAAATGGGGAAAATCAAGATCCTTTGGGCATCAAAGAAGATGCATAGCAAGCTTGTTACTCTGGACTTCAGGAGAGCAGACTTTGAACTCTGCAGGGGTTCAGGTGGCAGGGTGACACAGAACAAAGCCCTGGAGGGAAAATTAGTCAGTATTTAAGGACAATCTCCTCCACGTCCAGAATCAGTGCATCCTGAGAAAAAGGAAGGCAGGCAAGAACGTCAGGAGGCCTCCATGGATCAACAAGGAGCTCTCGGACTTACTGACACACTAAAAGAAAATCTATAGGGAACAGAAGCAGGAATGGGTTATCTGGGAGGATTACAAAGAAGCTGTCCGCAGTCAGGGATCAGGTTTGGAAAGTTAAAACACAGATAGAATTAAATCTAGCCAGGTGCATAAAGGGGAACAAGAAGAAATTCTACAGGTACATCAGTGATAAATGGAAGGCTAGGGAAGATGTGGGCCCTCTCTGGAAGGAAACTGGAAACCTAGTTACAAGGGATGCAGAGAAAGGTGAGACGCTCAGTGACTTCTCTGCTTCAGTCCTCACCAGCAAGGGTGATGTGGGAAGAGCCCAAGCTGCAGAAAGCAAAGGTAAGAACTTAGAGAAGAAAGATCTGCCAGCTTTAAGTGAAGATCAGGTTCAAGACCATTTAAAGAATCTGAAGGTGCACAAGTCCGTGAGACCCAATGAAATCCATCCACAGGTTCTGAGGGACCTGGCAGATGCAGCTGCCAAGCTACTATCAATCATATTTGAAAGATCATGGCAGTCTGGTCAGGTTCTTAATGATTAGAAAAGGAGAAACATAACGCCCATTCTCAAGAATTAAAAAAAAAAAGATCCACGGAACTACAGGCCAGTCAGTCTCACCTCTCTGCCTGGAAAGATCTTGGAGAGGATCCTCCTGAAGGCCCTGCTAGTGGGATATGTCCCTGCCTATAGTGGGGGATTGGAACTAATGATCTTAAAACAGCCCTTCCAACCCATCCTATGATTCTATGATAAAACTGAAAAATTGAAAAATATATACATGCAATATGTATTTCATATAAAATAAGAATCCATTTGCTCAAGGAACAGAAAAATACATGCTGCAGTGCAAGAGCAAAAAGAAACAACAAAATAGTCATATTTTGAAATATAAGTTCTTTCTTGAAATATTTTGAAATATGAGTTCTTTTTTGGGTTTGCTGCTTTTGCTATTATCCACATCAATCATGTAAACCTATCTCATAAATCAAACCATTTAACTCAGAACAGTTGAACTGTAAATTAAAGAAAAACAAAAGACGTGCTCAAGAGAACATACAAACTTAACATCACAAATAACACATAAGTACATATATGTTCTTACCCCGACAGTTCTTATTTTAAAGCATTCAATGCAGGAACATTTTTTGTTTCGGTGGTTGTTATTTTTAATGTATGTTTTTGCCTATTTGTTGGGGTTCGTTTGTTGTTGTTTTTTAAATCATGGTTCATCATAATATACTTTGAACAGTAATACTCATGTAATACTGTACACTCTGGTAGGTGAAATGATTTTCAAACAGGAGAGAAGAAGTGATACCTGTACTTACTGTCGTTGGATCCCATGCTTATGAGGTCATCAGAATCAACATTGTGAACTATAGCTGCCTTGTATCCAGCTCTCTGTGCATTTAAAACCTGTAAGTCATACAAAGTTTTGTTAGAAAGAACAGTACTTCAAAATACACCAGGTATATTTGCAGGAAGCTATAATTTTTTTGTTTGTTTGTTTTCGCTTACAAAACAAGCATCACCTTGAAAATAAAATCATCCTCGTTACCCAGGGCCCCAAAGAAACAAATACTAATTGTGCACTAGAACTAAAGAATTAACTCATTTTTAGAATACATATTAATATGATGATACAGATTCGGGAAATGGTTTTTTATTGCATGGTAACTTTCCACTACAAGAAAACAGCAATCAACTCTACCCAACAGTTACATTCTTCAGAGTGCCATCTGTATAGTAATATTACCAGCAAATGCAGACACCTTGAGGAATTACAGTGTTTTTATATACACACATGATATATCAGTTTTAGGTGTAACCATAAATGCATGGCTGGATATCGGCCAATACTACCACGCAAAGTTTAACAATGTATTTGCTGGACTTTGTGCCTAAAGAGGAATAGTTTTAATATACTGATATATCATTTATTTAAATGACATAAAAACCAAGACCATTCTAAGAAAGTATGCAGCACAACTTTCAGCTTATACTGCTAAATGTTTTATATGCATGTAGAAAATATGCAGTGATCCCTGTAAGAAGTCAACAACACATTTCAAGATCCTGAGTCCAGACAGTAAAGCACAGGCTCGGGAAAATTTTTTGAGAAAAAAAACTGTGCTCGAGTTCAAAGCACAGTACTCCCCCTGTTGATGAGCTCATTCCAGTTAATCACCAACACAAACAGCTGTAAATATCAGGTATACAGCTGAGAAGACAAATTCCCAGAAATTTTTAATTGCTTCTACTTGCTTCCAAACTACTGCTGTTCTCCTACTGATACATGATTTTTCCTGTAAGAAATCACTAGATGTGAAGAGAACTAGGAGATCATTTCTGACCCAGTAAAGATTCATACACAACAAAATCAAAGAAATAGTCACACCTCTTTATTTGTAACTTTAAATAAATAAGCAGAGATGGAGCTTGGAAATAAACTCACATTTTTATTAAGATCTGCATCATGTCAGTCTAAGAGCCGGCATGTGATGTAGAGCTCCCATCTCAGCACGTGCACTATTTCCTGCCACAAATATCAGAGCTAAATGCTGTAATATGTATGAAATTATATAATGCAATACTGCAATGGCATTAACAACAGAATCTCTCAAGATTCTGTGCAATAGAGATGTGATTCTCTCCTTTGTTTAACATCAGAGAGAAAAAGCTGAGGGTAGAGTCAAAATGCTATCTTGCAATCAATTAAGGAACTTGTTTCTAACACACTTGCTTTTCTGATTAAAAGTGTAATTCACTACAAAATTTCTGACCTGTTCCATTAACATATTCAGCATTAATACTGTCTCATCAATTTAGGGGCAGCTATCAGATTGGCAAAGACAACATGTAAAAGGCACGTAATCATTAGCTATACCTGTTGCCAGTAAGCCATGCAGATGTATCATGACAAGATTAGAAGTACAAAATACATGATATTCCAGAGCTTTATGTAAAGCTAGATAACAGAAGCAGTGAGACTGTACTGTGGAAGCTACCGTCTGGGGAGAACTTTAAACACAATGTCACATAACTATATTACAAAGCAGCGAGTATGTTTGGATCTCCTTTTCATTTACGAAAGTCAAAAACAAACTGAATCGTCCTGCCTTTCTTAATGCATAGTTTTTTGCCCCATATTGGATTAATTTTCAAGAAAACCTTATACTCTACGCAAACATAAATCATTCTAATTTTGTATTTTTAAAATAACATACAGAATACTCTCCTTCAGAAGCAGGTTGATCTTTTAATATTATAAATAGTTTACAATATCAAGGTGTTCTACCAACTGAAATAATTCCCATCCTGCCACTCATGAACAAGTGCCTGTTTTTGCCTGGCAGTGTTTCCTACTCCCATCAACTGTGACCCTATCATTGTTCACAGGGTCTAACTGTGAGCTGCAAGAAGGTCCAGCTATAAAAGCAAAAACAAAACATTAAGACTGCTTACAGATTTTAGGTCACATCAGTTTTCTAACCTCCCCTGTGATCCCTGGCTACTGGCACAAGAAAAGGCAGCAAAAAAGGAAGACTGACTTTTTACACTGACAGCGATAGAACGAGGCGGAATGGTTTTAAATCAAGCAACAAGATTCAGGTCAGATGTCAGGAGGAAATTTTTCACTCAGAGGGCAGTGAGGCCCTGGCACTGCTGCCCATGAAAGCTATGAGTGCCCCATCCCTGGAGGTGCTCATCAGGCTGGATGAGGCACTGGGCAGCCCAAGCTGGTGGGGTCTGCCAGGCCATGGAAGAGGTGGGGCCAGGAAAGACTGTAAGGTCCCTTCCAATCCAGCCATTCTGTGGTTCTATGATTTCCCTTTAAGAAAAGTAAATACTGCTAACGGATGTTTTATATTACAGAACTGCAGCACCACTCACCATTATTTGCCACACATGCTGGCTCATGAACAAGTAATCTTAAACTAAATCATAATGTAAGGCTTTATTTGCCTTAGATCTTTTGTTTGCACAAGAATAAAATTCTCCCTCCCATCCACACCAGTATCGACCCTGCTATTAACTATACTTATTTTTCTAAGCACCATCAAATTCTTAGAAAAGTAAATACAAAACATACATATGTATACTACCTTGATATCGAAGTTGCACTCAAGCCTTCGAATTAAGACAATAAAAGCAGTGGACGAGTTGTCTCTGAGTGGAGGAGGGGCTATAGGCTCACACGCATTCTCTGGTTTTGAATTTATTAGGAATCCCTGAAAAACAGTAACAGAATAATGTCAGCTTTGTGTCTCTTTAGCTGAACGAAACAGTTTTCAGACAAATATAAGGAAAGAAAACAGTATTTTCAAACAATAGCCAAGCAAATTCTATCAACTCAGTTCTACCACTGTGAGATTTCTGCTATATCCCTATTAATTTTTATTTATCAGAATCCTTGTATCTATAAAAATATTGAAATCTGTAAAATCTGAAAGTTAAGAAAACAAAGTTTTTTCACTTATTTCACCTGAAGTTCATAACTTGGAGTTTGCAGTACAATCCTGTACAAAAAGGACCGTAGCACTACATCAACACTGTGGAACTACTGTCCTAGGACATACTCAGAATAATAATAAAACTGAAATGTAGAAGAATTAACACTGGTTGTGTATACAGAGAAAATCCATTGTAACAAAATGAGCACTGCATGAAAATGTTATCTGTACACAGCAAGTCTGATCAAATCTGGTCATGCAAACCACTACTCCCCATACCAATTACACTTTAAGTGCCACATGTGTAGAACTCCCCTCTGAATAAAGCTCACTCATCACCTTCTATTTGAGAGAAAAAAAAGGAAAGACAGTCCAGTCTCAAGCACAGTTATGTCACAGGATATGCATCTGTAGAAAGCTGTGAACCAAACTTCCAAAAAAAAAAAAATCTGAGGGATGTAGACACAAACTCAAATTGCCACAGGTCAACTCTGCAAGGGAATTATCCATGGATGTCATCACAGCCCAAGGCCCATGCAAGATAGTTTAATTTAGTCTGTAATAATAATCAAAACACATAGGAATGAGTTACACTTAAACTCATTTTTACTTCTACACAGGTGACCACATCTATCTTAGTTAAGGTCTAATAGTTAAAAAGGTTAGAGTCCAAGCTCCTTACAGCTATTTTTGATGTATTAAATTGGCTCACTCCTAGGGCAAATCACTTAATCGCTCTGCTGCTCAATTTACTCAGTAAACAATACTAGCTTTACCTACATTCCTCCCCATAACAAATCTCGCTAGGCATGAAAAGAAAGTCCTGTTGAAGCTTCATTTGCAGACAAATTCTTATTGGTAGACAAATTCTTACATTAGTTTATTCTTCACTGTGATGAGGACACTATGCAGTCAAAAAGCAATCCAGACTTGCACGACCACATCAGCTTCATTTGTGCCTATTTTTTAACTCACAAGCATCGCAACACCAACAATGTCTCAGCCAAATTTTAAGGCCTTCCATGTCACAGACAGAAGGAAATGGAAGACAGCCCTCTGCCCTCATCTGCTATTCACCATCTCCACAGGCACACTAACTATAGCAATTCTCCTTCATTGGAACTGGGAAGATTGTGTGCACAAATGTTTATGGCTTAGAACTCTTACACAAAATAAATGCAAATACATCTCAATCAGAAATATTTACTCATACACTGTTAAAAGCAACAGACAAACAAGGTACTGCACTGAGCCTGACTCTCTGCAGTCACTTCTGTAATAATAATAATAAATAAAAATAATGAAGGGTAAACTTTGTGTAAGAATTAAACTGTTTGGATGGCTACGCTAAACTGCCTTTCAAGAAGATGATAATTTCAAGTACAGAAGAACCGAAAAGAAGGTTTATTTGAAATGAACAACCTTACCAATGCTGACTGTCAGAATGTGATCCTACAAAGGTAAATGGTTCGCATCACTGCAAAGATACTTTTATCAGGCAAGCAGAAAACATGCAGCATAAGCATTTTCCCGGAATCGACAGTATTTGGAGAAAACTTCAGCTACAAAATCTCAACCATAAACTTATCTCAGAGGATAATTTGCTTACTACCTCCTCTATTTTATTTTACACAGTGATTTTGGATTTTTTTCATCAGTTACTTACTACTGCCATCAGAATGTATGGATGTCTACTACCTTAGCCATCCTGAAAAAGCAGAACTTGTCTTTTTATCACTGCCTATGAAAGCTACATTTGTTCACCCTTCCTCATAAACAGTCCCATTTCATCTTCAGCAAGATCTCCTTACTGTGAATTTCATTCATCTACACACCTTACATTTGAAATGTGTTAACTACAGTACACATGCAGAAAAGGACGTGGATTTGTGGCTTTATTTGTTTATAAAATACCTTCAGGCCTTCTGCTGGCAGTCTGTAGCCAAATCTGGCAGGTAGATCATCAAAGGTCTGGGTTCCATTTTCGAAGTTATACTACAAGAAACAAATTTTAAAGAAAATTCAGGTTTGCAATAGGATGGAGCCCTGGGCAGCCTGGTCTAGTATTAGGTCTAGAGGTTGGTGGCCCTGCCTGCAACAGGGGGTTAGAACTTGATCCTTGGGGTACCTTCCAACCCAAGTCATTCCATGATTCTATGAACAAGAGTAAATACAAATAAACAAAAGTAATTTTTTTTGTTTTGGGGTTTTTTTGTTTGTTTTTTAAGATTAAAATATTTATCAGAGATAGGACCTTTTGAAAGCACATCAATGAAGCCACAAAGTTACTTTTCCACTGGTCTTTCACTCACATAGCAACTTCATTCTTTTCTTATCCAGTTGTCAAAACAAGGAATTATTTAGTAAGTAATAACCCTGGGCATTAAATCTCTATCTACAACTCAAATATGACCATATTTGCAAAACAGAAATCTCAACAGCTCTACAGTATTCTTTTACACAAACAATGAGCTTTCACTTCCAAACAGAGGAATACTGTAAAGACCTTAAATCAGTGGAAGCTTTGTTTCCTCCTTCCTCGTGACATCTTTCATAGCTGTATGAGTTGGTTAGCAATGGAGAATCCATACAATAAAAAGTGAAGAACATACATATGCTGAAATCTCTTCTCAATAAGTAAAAATAAATAAATGAACAAAATTAGTTTCCTGAAAAAGCTGTAAATTCTACAGTAACTGTTTATTGTATCATAAAACTGTTACACAATAGTCAAGAAAGAATCACGATTACCTCAGAAGGCATTTCATAATTGCCAGATTTAGACATGGGAACTCTAATTAAAATAAAAAAAACACACTATCGTGATCTATCTTAATTCTTTCAAAGGGAAAAGATTTCAAAGAATCAGACTTTAATAAAGTGGAAGGGGAAAAGATAGCAATGGAGCTTAGCTCAAAGGAAAGGCACTTGTTTTGTGTAATCAATCTGCTTCATACAACCTTTCCCCCTGATCTTCCATCCTGAAATCAGGCAGCATAGCTCTGTGCCAATGAGCTGTCCTCATCATTCACTCACTACCTTCAAAGTGTTCTTCCTGAGCTCATGTCATGCATGCTATTCCCTAAATTAATCACAAGTTTCAATTTAAGCTAAGAGTCAGATAAAAACATACTTATTTTTATCCCTCGTGAGAACAAAGAAGCATAAACACGAACCTAAACCAGTAAAGAAAGAATTTCTTCGCTTGGCAGACCAGAAGATTTGCCTGGAACTTTACCCTCCAGACAATCATTAACCCAAGAAGTCTTTCAGAATCATAACCTATCTATATGCCTTCAATTCTCCTAAGCATTCTACTGTCTCCTTTTCAAACAGCACAGTTTTAACAGGTATCTCTTCAATCCCTCAAATCCTGCTTAACGGACATTCTCAAAATAGACCAGTCATTACCCAAATATCCCAGAATAAAAACCACTTTATTTTTTGATTGAGTTATTTTAGAATAGTGCATGCTGAAGCTTAAACAGAGAAATTAAAGTAAGCTTCAAAATATTTTTTTTTAAGATAGGAAGTAGTAAGCATAAAAATAAATTTTATTATGAACAGAGGAAATGTGTGCTAAGTTACAAAGAGGAAAAAAACAGATCAAGTCTGCAGTAGAGATCAAGTTTAACATTTCACTACAGAATGTCAGTGTCACAACAGCAGTCATCTATCTGCACTGCTTAAATTTTTTCCTCTACAAAACGTAACACAGAGTAGTAGCAATTTCAAGACCCAAATAACACAACTGAGTATTCATGAACCCCACATTACCGTGATCTTATGTACTTTTATTTCAACACTTGCTTCAAGGATTTTCACTCCATTCTCCTAAATTAACTGACATGATATTAACACATATTTTGGATGTCACTGTGATTAGCAGAGAATACAGGTATTATAGCATATAGACAGAATTATTTCAGTGGAATAGACTGAATTATTTCTATCCTACAAATGCATAGCTTCCTTCATAAAAGTACAAGATACATAACATTGGCCAGTGCCAATGGAGTGCCCATTGTAGCACAGGTGCATCCTTAGCCTTAACACTGAGTGTTAAGTTCATTAATCAGCCTTACATCACAAACGATACAAAGACTATTTAAAACCTGAAAAATATTATCCTCATTATTTAAAATATGTATATATGTAGGTGCAGCATACACAAAAGCTTTACTGACAAAGCTCCAGCACAGACATAAATAGTACTAGCAATGGGCAGAATATTTTATTTACTTTATTTGGATACTTATCCTACAAAATGGCACCCACCATCAAAACTTAAATTGCTATCTAAACCAAACAATCTAAACCAAAGAGATTTATAATATGCGATAGAATACATGGTCAGATTGGAAGTTCTTAAACGACTTTAAAGGAATGAAGTGTTTTCACTGTGGGGTATCTGAGCACACATCTGACAGATCATCTGAAAATGGACGGTTTATTTTGGTATTGAACTGAAGCCTTGAGGCAACCCTCTCCCAAACAACCCATTACAAAACTTACTGTACTCACTCATTAACTGATTAATTTAGAAGAAGATTCAATTCTACAAATTTCACCTGTGGAGAAAAATATTCTCACACTTACCGCTAAAATATCTGCCTCCACCGGTAAGAGATTCAGGAAAGCAAATAGCTGAACAGTCACAATAGTGTATATCTGAGTGGCAGACAACATCAGCATTCCTAGTGACAACAGCATATTTCAATATCTGTAAAACAGGGCAGGGGGAAAGAAAAAAAAATAATAATCAAGCCTTGTAGCAATACTTTCCTCTGTCATTTGACTGAGTTCTATCGGTCAGCTAAAATCCATCCTCTAAAAGAGCAAGAAGATATTCTGTCTTGACTTTTGAGAGATAATTTTTAATTTATACTATTACTTTAGAGATAGAAAAGAATCCCATTTACCAAGAGCATGTAACCTTGACAAGACTGCTGTGCAAAGCAAAAGTTACAATAGCACTTCAAAAAGCTTCAGGAAACCAGAGGCAACGTAAGTGGTACAAAGAAATGAGCACTCACATGTTGTTAATTACCCTTAGACATTCTTAATTTTAATATTCAATTCTTCTAACACAAATATAAGCCATCAAAATTTCTTAAGTGTCTGAAGTAATTCTACTAAAAACCATTTACTCTGAACATACACTTGCAAAGCTAATTTCAGTAGGCATCAACTAACAGCAAATTTTATTAATTCCAGGGAAACGCACAAGTGCATAACGCAATGCGTGAGCGGGATGGCAACCCAGAATTCAGATGGTTCAGTCTCCTGAAGCGTGAGCATTTTTTGAGACCTTTAAAAAACAAAGACAAATACTCTTTAAAGTATTCTTGTATGCTTATCAACAACTCACGGCATTAAAAGGAAATTAATTCTGCTTTGTTAATAAATTTTCAGCAAAACTGGCAGCAAAAGGAACAACTTATATCTTTAAAAGCAGGAGCACGTTTGCAAATAGAAACAGTTCTTTTAAAGTGCTGATTCATCATCAGTCAAAGAGGAAAAGAAAAAAAAAAAGCAAGAAGCGGTAAGAGGCAATAAAACCATCATTTTGGCACTGTGCCTTGCCATACGAATGTGGCTTACCCATAAAAGTATTAAAAATACAAAATAAGGGCTTGAAAGCCTTTTCTGTACCAGCAAGGATACTTGCTTCCCTGCTGAAGTCACTGACTTCATCCTATTAGCCCCACAAAAACACAGACATGTAACGTGGACCAAAGCTGCAGTATTTGATAAATCCCTTCACACACAGTGAGAAATGGTACCTCTGCAAAGTTTTCATCCAAAGCGCTCAATGCTGTGGGCCAGCGATCCACTGCCACTTTTTCGGTCAATATCATCAAAAGGTGACTGTATGAGATTCATTCACAGTAAGCTGAAAATTCTGCTAGCTAAATTGGAAAATGAAGCATCCAAAATCTTGCCAGGAGGGCAAGAGAGAGAAGGAGGTTTCAGTCCTCCATAAGTGACTTCAGCACTTCAGTGTACACTGTCCCTGTGCTGAACAAAACAGAGTTATGTGGGGAAAAAGAGACTGTAATCAAACAATACAGTTACTTACATACAAAGGGCAAACGGAAGGCACACGACTGGCCACAAATACAGTACCTCCTCACATCTCAGATGCACCTTTTAATATTAAATATTAAAAATTTAAATATTAGAAGATGCACCTTTTAATACTTTTTACTTCAAAGATTCCTACTGTTTTATGTTTTTCCCACTGCATGCAGTTACATGGGGTTTGACACAGCTTTAATGTACGCTGTTGAGAAATGCAAGCTGAACTTCAGGATTGGCCGCTGAGAGGAGTACTGATACTTCCAGGGAGCAGAAAGCAAAGCCTGCATAAGGGCACTGCCAGCTGTCCAAGCTCCTTCCCCATCCCTATGAGTTGCACGTGAGAGGCTTCCTTCCTGTGTGGTGCTCCCAAAACAAAGGCTGGCTTACTGCCATGCCAATATACAAAAATTATACATATACATATATAATTAAATCAATGTTTGGTTTCTCTGCCTCCTCACTTATTTTATGACTTTGCTAAACATTGTACTTTCTCAACTTTCATTTAGCAAAATAGAACTCATCATCAGTGGACAATTTCACCGAAGTGCTGGTGATACATGATCTGCTTCAAAGAAAGCTAATCTATACAAGCATTTTATAATGCTTTAGGAGTATTTTGACTTGAGAGATGTTTTCTAGATTTAGATTATAAAATAACTTATTATAGCCGTACTATAACTTACAACATTATAACTCATAACAACACTGCCGTCTGCAGAACATCTCATAGACCACAACTTCTGTCATTCCTGCACCTCACCCTCTTACAACCCAACCACCCCAACCAGGTGCAGCAGAACTGCCGATTCCACACTGCAATCCAAGCAGACCACTGACATCATCTGCCAGATACAGTCTTCAAAAAGAATGACAGAACTCCCTCAAGAAGTTTATTCCAAACAAAGCTACTAGAAGAAGGGGCCAACATATTTTAAGCTTAATTTTTTTCCCAATTTTTTTCAAAGAAGACCATCCTAAAACAAACCTCTTTAGCATAAGGAAGAGCAATAGGGAATGACCCCCCACTCAGCTTCCCCCACCACCCTGTACTACAGTCAGACAGGAGGGCACCACCACCTGATCATCACTGCCTCCCGGAAAACGTGTCCTCAGCCACAGCCCCACGACTGCACGCACAGCCAATGGTGGTTAGAAGCAGGAGGGAAGAACCAGCCTCTCTTCTAGATGCCCTTCCCTGCAAAAGCAGAACTTGATGCCAAGGATCACAACCCCTGCTCCCCCCCCAGACAAGTTTCAGCTGACAGTTTCTTCTTGCTACAGCCATAATCCAGTCTTTAAAGAGACAGTGATTAGCTGCCATTCAGACATATGACGCATTGTGAAACTTCCAACTGGTTAGAAGAACAGAAGTTACAATCAAAGGAACTCGTAATGAATTACAAAATTTGTGACTTTTTATTTCTAAACTATGATTTTCCAGCTTCTCAAATCTGTCAGCCCCAGCAACAAGAACATCTGTGAAACTGGGAGAGTAAAAGGCTAACCATCCAAAAAACAGTGACTTCCTTAATGACAGAAGTAACCAGACACTTGAAACTATCACAGTATCATATATACAGAAAGCACTAAAACAGCAGTAAGTATCGTTACAAAATACCAGAAATAAAGTTGTTCACGCTAACAACAAGCATGAATAGTCTTCTTCACCAAACAGTTACACACATACTCTTCTGGGCCCAAGAATTACTGCCTCAAACACACCCCAAAAAGGTCTATGCTTCAGGAAACTTCACAGCTCATTTGTAGACCATAGTCTTCATTCCAGTAAAGCAACTTACAGCACACAGAAATAGAGGCATATGCAATTAAACACTAAGCTGCAGACTAAACAAACGAAGTTTAACTTCTCCTGCATTAATTCTGAGTGCCTACATGTGTTTTTCTAGACAGGGTTCTCATTATGTAACTGTGGGAGTTTCAGACTGCTTCCCACTTTGCATTCCAGAACTTGCAAAACACACTGAGCCTGGGGAGCTGCACACCTCCACCTGATGGAACAGGACCATCAGGTCAGGAATGGGGAGGAAAATGTGCTGAGGGCACCACAGCAGCCATGAAGCACCTACATGAACTTCAACTACATCAGTCAAGGCAATTCCCATAGACATAAGGCAGAAGCAGTATTTTTGACTTCACAATAGATAATATATTTCTAATTAAACTTTTTATGGAAGCGGAGAGCGCAATATTGCTTCTCATTTTAACGAGAATCTCACTGTGTTACAAACACTGTCTTTAAACACCAACAAGCCAATTCCCAGATCAGAACGTGTAACCTGAGGGGAAAACGCTCTTATAGCTGCATCCCTGCACTCTGTCAAAAGCACCACATCATACCTGCCAGCATGGACAAGCCTCGGAAGCATCAAGGAATGATTTGGTGCTGGACGCTGAGCTGACAGAGCACTCGGAGCTCTTGCTAACTATTCTCAAACAGAGATGCTCTAAGCACGTGTAAATCAAACGTTCAGAAACGCATTTTTCAGTCCACTCAGTTTCTTTTGCAGTAAAAGGCAGCAAAGCACAATTCCCTGCCCATACATTTATGCTCACTCCTCAGTTCTTAAGAAAATACTTGTTTTAACCATTTAGCAGGAAAAAACAAAACAAAACAAATCTACATTTAATAGCCTGAAATTCTATCTCAGTGCTGCACAGGATTACAATGCCCAGAGAGAACGCATCAGAGCCCGCCCTGCCACAAACACAGCGACAATGTTTTCTGCGCTTTAAGCACACCGCTCCATCCGAATCCGTCCGTGTGGGGCTTCCAAAACCCCGCAGCACAGCACACAGTTACGCAAACGCCATCGCAGCTCTCACGTATCTCGTATCTCGGACACCCCTGCGCCGCGGCTTTCTACATCCCGACGGCAGCCCATCATCACCGACCTCCATCTCCTCCAGCCCCGCCCGAGGCTGACAGGACCCAAATCCGGCTCCGCGCTCAGCTCCGGCCGCTGCAGCACCGCTCCTCCCCGCCGCCGCTCTCCTGCGGCCAGCGCCCCGCCCCGCCGCCTCACCTCAGCGCTGGGCCGCGAGGCGTTGCGGTACGGCCCCGCGCCCGGCCCGGCAGCAACCCGCGGAGCGCTCGCGGCCCCGTCCGGCCTCCCTCCGCCGGCCGACCGCGAGGCGCTGCCCGGAGCCGCAACGACGCCGCGAGGCGGCGCGGCCGGGGCGGAAGCGAATAGGCGCTGCGCAACGAGCGGCGGGCCCGGCGCCGCACGAGCGGCCGCGAAGCCGGAGCGCCGCGCAGCGGGTAGGCGGCGGGTAGGCGGCGGGAGACGCAGCGGCCGCCCTTAGGGCCCGCAGCCCCCTCACCTGCGGGACCGGCACGAGGCCCGGCGCCAACAGCCGAGGGCCGCACTTAGGCCGCCTCCATGGCGCGCTCACCTCCGCCCAGCGGCCGCGTCGGAAGTCCCGCCCCCAAGGGCCGCGTCGGGCTCCGGCACCCTATTGCTCCGGCCGGACGTCACTCAGGCACGGGCGCGTGACGCAGCTGGGCGGGGCGGGCGGGCCCTGAGCCGTGGGCGGGACGCCGCGCCCTTCCGGCCCGCCCGCCTCCCCGCCCCGCCCCTTCCTGTCCCCGGGAGCGGCGATGCTGCTGGTGTTGTCGGAGGAGCAGAAGGCGCACCTGGGCTGCCTGCCCCGGGTGGGCGGCGCAGGTCTGGCGGTGGGGCTTCTGCTGACCTTCGCCGGCTCCCGTCTGGGAGCCGCGCGGCGGTGGGTGGGACGGGAGTGGCAGCGGCAGTTGATGGCTGGGCCGACCCGACCTTACAGCGTGAATCGCTTCCTCTCGTTTTAGCCGTCGCAGAGCTGGGGCACCTGGCGGTGGAGCTGCTGCGGCGCGGCGCGGCACCCAAAGCCTGCGAAGCGGCTGCCAGTAAGGGGCGGGGTGGGGCACTGCCGCGCCGTTAGCACGTCCGCGGGGCTGCGGGACGCGCGGAGGGCGATGGGGAGCGTCGGAGCAGGGAGCCGTGGTCGGGCTGTGCTCGCAGACCGCGCTGCGCAGCGTGCTGTGACCCGGGCGCCTTACTGTAACCGTCTGGGTCTGCGTTGATTTATTTCTTGGGCCCTTCAGCTCGCCTTTGGGTCGCTCTCATTGCTGTTTGCAAGGCGTTCGATCTTCTACGCGTATTTTTCTATGCGTGTTTTTCTCTCTTCTATACTTTTTTTCTATGCGTACTCTTCCAGCTTTGAGTAAATACACAGCTGTGTGTTACGGTTGGCAGCTTTGCAAGGGCCTAAAAGGAGCTTTGCTTTCTTTAAAGGAAAACTCAACGCTGGCGTTGACACCGTGCAGCACGGGGTGGAGGGACTGATGTACCTTCTTACAGAAAGCTCCAAGCTCATGGTGAGAACACCTTACATGGTGAATTCAGAGATGTCTGCTGAGCAATAGGAGTTATGAAAACACTGATGACAAAGGAAAGATAAGATGGATTTTTATTTATTAAAATGAAAGAGGTGTATCTTGCTGTATTCTTATTAAAACACCGCTTCAGCGTGGATAAGCTTAGGATTTGTATGCAGCATCCCTGATACCAAAGCATAACACTGATAGCACATCACAAAAACACCCAACACTTCAGCCTGTATAAGGAAGAGTGCTTCAGGATTAAGCTCTGTCCAAATAACATGACTTCAGCAAAGCTGCTTTTTCTGCATGTTGTGCTAACCCAGAGTAAGTATTCCCCCTGTGTTGCTTGAGAGCTTTTTCAAATGCTGACATCGGAAATTCAGGGTGAGCACGAGCAGATGGTAAGGGAATTATAGCCAGATAATAACTCCGTTAGATAGACTTCTTATTGATAGGCAGACTGTTTGTACACCAGAGATAGAGAAAAGGGATCTGTAGACAAGTAGTTCTAAGTTAAGCAGATGTTGTTCTAAAGAGCAGGTAGAGAGGAAAATGAATTAGTGTAGTATGTTGCCTTGAACTAAGGTGCCTTGACCGACAGATAAATTGCAGTGCTGTTATGGTAAAGCATAGTTAATCACAGAATTCTTACTGTATGTATGCACTGTAATGCATGACTCTGTAGAATAAACTGCTGCTTCAGCAGTGATGAACTGAGCTCCTCCAGCTCAGCACAGTCATTGACCTGAGAGGATCGACTTTGAATGGCTATTTTGTGTTGATATGGGGCTTTAAAGTTGCACCTGGTGCCTTCTTATAGGTATAAGATATTCAGTCCATTTCAGAGTATCTGTAACTTCAGTATCAATACTACATACTGTTGCTAAGTTAATTTTCTAGAAATGTACTTAATTATTGCAAACCTCAGATGCTTTTTTTCTGTTGCGTTTTGTTCTCAAATACATAAAAATGTGCTATTTATTTGTCTTCTTCAAGCTGTAGACTCATCTCTGTATTCCTGCATTAAAGTAACTGCACTGCACAATATGTATGGTGCTTACTTACAGTTCTATTGTTGAGAAAGAAATAATGATTATTGCATAGCTCTGTAGTAAGGCCTACTTGTTAATTTCCAGATTTCTGAAATGGACTTCCAAGATTCCATTCATGTTTTGGGATTCTCAGATGAATTGAACAAATTATTGCTTCAGCTTTACCTTGATAACAGGAAGGAGATCAGAAGCATTCTTGGTGAGCTGGCACCAAAGCTTCCCAGCTATCATAGCCTTGAGTGGAGACTAGATGTGCAGGTAACCTCTGTTTTTTTTATCGGTACTCTGTATTTTGCATTATATTTTTTAATAACACAAGCAACTATAAAGATATGAGTTTATATTATTTTAGAGTAATACAAATAGCAGCATTTTCATTTTGTTATTGTACTGAACTAGTTGTAAGATGAACATGATATGTAATGGTGCAAAGTATTTGTTGCTTTATGACAAATGAATTCATAGCTCTATCAGTGCTTTACAAAGTTAGCATATACTAAATATATTCAGGTCTTTATTTTCAGCTAATTTTCATAAATGTTTTGAATGCATTAATTAAAATGGATGTGTATTGTCTAATGATAAAAATAATTAATAGACTGTGTTTAATGTCAATGAAAATGATTTGTTTATTTCTTTAAACAGGCCTGCACGCAGGTCCTGCGAACCTTTTGTGAACTGTTGATGTAAAAGTTCCCAACTATCTTCCCTTTTTTGTTGTTGCTTGTTTCTCTATTTTAATTTCCTTTAAACCCTCATGCAGCTTGCAAGCAGAAGTCTGAGGCAGCAAATTAAGCCTGCGGTGACTATAAAGCTACATCTTAACGAGAACGAAGATCTAACTACCCAAGTGTTACAAACTGACCCTTCTACCCTCCTCCACCTAATTCAGCAATTGGAACAAGCCCTGGGGGAAATGAAGACAAACCATTGTAGGAGAATAGCACGAAACATGAAATAGTATTCACTCTTCAAGACTTGTAGTAGGCACTCAATGTTCACTAATACATGTCAAGAAAAATAAACATCTGGATCAGATGTAATGCTTTTCTGGGCCAGGATCCTGAGTCAGTAATTACAGGCTGAACACTTTCTGGTGCTAACTTTACACACCTGCCTGATACAAAATGGGTAATTGCTTTTACTTTACTTACATATGTAGAAAATCAGTATGCTATACTGAGACTTCCTTTAGCTCTAAATTAGTATGGTTTTACTTTAAGAGCTTTTCTACATTCTACATAAGTAAAGCTGTCTCAATATTATAGGAGATTGTGCATGTTTTTATGTTTATTAAGCAGATTTTTCTGTTTTTGCCTCTGTTTTGAAATAAAAATACCTATTCAATACCTACACTTGTGAGAATGATACTTTACAGGAATGTTTCTTCCATTTAGACTCCTGTATGTGTAGAAGTGCAAGTGTACCTGTGGGACTACTGCCTGTCCAGCCAACTCAGAGGTTAGGTGCTACAGAGCTTCTGCTGTTCACTTCTCACAACACTTGCTTATTGTTAATTGTATTGGAAATGTTTTCACGAAGCAGCAATGTAGCATGTTATGAAAACTTAGTTCCCAGCTTTGTGGTGAGACCTGCACATGAGAGGAACTTATATTCTTATATAACAGAAGACTTCAGTTTTAAAAAAGCTATCTGTAAGCTCTACTAAGCAGGGATTTCTACACTTAGCAGTTCCTACAGAAGGTCTCGTGGCCTAAGCGTAAGTTAGCGTGCTGATTATTTTTACAGGTAAAGGTGATCTGAAAAGTTGCAAACTATGGGCTAGTAGGCCAGTTAAGAAAACAGTTAACTTCTGGTAAATCAGATCTTTGTGTTGTGATACAGCAGCTTGGGTTGGAAGGGAAGGGAAGCTAAGTACTGCAGAGTAAATAAAGCCTTCCTGTATTTAAGAAAGTTCTTCTCTAAAGGTTATGCTAAAAGACACTTTTCAGTTGTACTTATGTGCAATATTTCATAGCTCTTGTGACAAAGGTAGGTAGTTTTACTAGTTAGTGTTTCACTGTCACTAGTGAGAGTACATAATAAATCCTTTAAGTTCTACTGGGGAGAATAAATAGATGAGAACCTTCACATTCATATTCTAGCAGTGACTTTTGTAGTGACGCCGTACATTTATGTACTAATTCACAAATGCATTATTTTCTCCCTGTTTAGAACTTAGGAAAAATACTACCTGCATGGCAAAAGTGCTTCAATCAATAAGTAACTACCACTTAACAAAAAAAAAGTCTGTTTTCTCAAATTTGGAGTTGCTTATTCTCTAAGTGTTTAATTGTTTTATGTAGCATGTCTACAAGGTGATTTTCTTCCCCATAGCAAAGTGTTTCAATTGCCATCTACGTTGATTTTTTTCCCTCTCATATAGCATGTGGTAATTAAATATGCTCAAAAGTTATAACTTCTGATTCTGATTTTTTGGGCTTTGTTTATTTTGATGTAACTGGCCTGTATTTTCAGGAGAAATATAAAACCAATCTATATGTAGATTGGTATTTTCTCTTTATTTCATCTCTCCTCAGTATAGCCATAGTCTTTGTTCATGGTAGTAAATATACAAGATTTAGATACGCATCCTGGAAGATTTTTATGTCTCCTTTCACTGTTACTTTTACTACTTTTAACCCATCTTATTTTATAGGTATTTGTCCCCTTTTATTTCTACATTATCTAAGAAAAAAGTTAAATTTGAAGCCTTTTTTTAAAAGCCTTTTGTAAATCTGGAATAGGTGTTTATTTATAACAAAAAAATAATAATTGCAGATTATCTCTCAAGAAGTTACATCCCTTTGAAGAAAGTGACTGACTAGATTTGTTTTGTAGATGGTGGTGTGTTTTAACATTGAAGGAATTCACAAATATTAAATTCTGAGTATGCTGTGAGGAAGTTGAGCACATTATTTCATTTTAGAAGCCTATTAAGTACAGAAGATATTGCCTATTAACCTTGCTACAGAACATTTTGAATGTTTTTTCTTAAAAAACAATAATTTTGTCCAAAATAACTGCCTTTCCTTTGTACTTCTAGTAACTTTTCGTTTTGTGATGTAAGCAGTTGGCAAGTGGATCCTTGGCATTTTTTTTTTTTATATACTACTAAATTCAGGTGAATATTGTGTTGGTGCAGACTTCTAAGTGCATAACAGAACTAAAAGTCCAAGTATTGGAAGCATAAGATAGACAGTTTCCTGAAAAGCAGAGTTAGACTCAGCCCTCAATAACGTGTTCCCATGCAGGTTTGTATGTGGGGAGAATGATGCTTTGCAGGAACGTTGCTTCCATCTCTACTTCTGTGACTGTAGAAGTGCAGAAATACCTGGTTTAAACAGCAGGGGGCAGAAAGTTTAATTGTTTTTAATTCACTATGGAGGAGGTACACTGTACAATCATTTTCAGTATTTGTCTTTCATTAAGAATTGTTCACAGTCTCAAGACTCTGCTTGAACTGTATTTCGCTTTGCATTTTCCAAATTCATGATCAATTTTAAACTAAAACGATAAAACTTTCAGTATTTCAAAGCAATGCAAACCACTGGTTGGCATTTTGTTTCCTTTGAACTTGCTAATCAATTTGTTAAAACATTTAGCAAAGAGCATTAAGTTATTTAAACTCGGGATGACTTGGTTTGTTCAGGGTTGTAAACCTTTATATTCCTTTAAGTGCTGAGTAAACTCACAAAGCCGTGCTTTTCTTCTTCCTGTTGTTTATATCTTTTTGAATGAGCTGTGTATGACTGCAGTCCATTCTGTAAAATATACTGACCCGAGTTTTAATTGATTTCCCGTCTCTAAAACACATTTACACTCCCCTACAAGCTTAACTTCTTGTACTTCTGCTTGTCCCTGTCACACGTTCCTGCAAGCTTTTAATGTACTGAATATTCTTTCACCCTTCATCTGGCTTTCTGATTAATTTGATTTGTTTCTTGAATTCTATGGGGAAAGCTGTTTTAATTGAAACACGTATGAAGTTAGTTCAGATTTACACACACATCTATCAGTATCCAAATTTTGGATTAGATCTAGGATTCTCATTTAACAGAAAATCCTTTGAACTCCTAAGAGTTCACCTTAAAATTGTCTTTTGAATGTAATATTTAAACATATTAGACCTAAGTAGATTGCCATTAATAAACACGTATATGTATGAGCTCAAAGATATGAATGTGATTCTGTTTTGGTTCTAGTTTATATAAGAACACCTATTTCCTATACTGTGACTTTGTAATGTAACAATGGATAGAGTATAAGAAAGGAAGTACAAGATTAGGAACAGACTGGTGAAACTCTATGAGTAAAACCATGTTCTTTCTTAGTTATCTAAATAAGGGGAAGGAAGTCTGCTGTCACTCCGTGTTTGCTTTGTGGTCAGGGTCTGGTATATTGCAGCACAATTGGTTTCAATATTGTTTTCAATACTACTACTAATTTTTTTTTTCCAAGATAAATGTAAATTACCACAACTCCCACATATTTTTTTTTCTTATTTAATTTAAGCACAAAGTGAGTTGTGCTAGCAAAGCTCAATTTCATTACCATTTTAAGCCACCTGAGACAAACTGATGGTATGCCTGTGTACTTTATTCCACTATCTTCTTGGGAACCAAGCAGCAGAGCTGAAACATGCAGCTCTCTCTCCAGTGTGCTAACATCTGATAGGGCTTTAGCTGCTTGCAAGCTAGACATTACAGCTTTTTCCAGATCACTGCTGCAAACTGTTCAGGTGTTTGACTGACTCTGAACTGGTGTTAATGAGCAGTGTTTGTGTGTCCCGTTGCCTAGGCTTTGCTGTAAGGAGGGCAACCTCTGAGACACAAACATCGATGCAGTTTTTTGCTTAGTGCAGCTGTTCCTGAAATGAGTGTCTGTGCAGTCATCTGTAGATGATCACAAAGCCTTCTTGCTCCTGACATTACATCAATTTACAAAACGACATAAACTGAGCTGACGTAAGTTCTTTTTTAGTAGCAGACTGTGTCTACATTTGAGGTTTTACTGGCCTGGAGATGTTGGCTGGGGGGGAGACATGCTGGCAAAGCTGTTCTGGTGAAACTTGGTAATGTATAGCAGGTCTGTGTATTAAATAAACCACATCAAAGTTGGCTGCACAGGATATGCTTTGCATACATTCTGAGGAGCCAGCCAAAGTTAAAAGCTGTTAACTACATTAGAAATAAATAGCTGTGAAATGTACGTGAATGAAAATAGAATTTTAAGCACTAATCCCTTTGTTAAAAAACAAAATACGTTTACATAAGCCTACCTTAGTTGCAGAGTTCCGTTGAAAATTAGACTAATTTAAAACTACTACCAGGAATGTAACATAAAAATATGGGTATTAAACAATAAGCAATTCTCACAAAAGCAAATATTAATTAGCATGACAAATAGCACATTTTGAATGTGAAAACAGGTGCATTAAAACACGTGTACCTTTGTACAGTGAAACATGTACAGTGTTTACTATTACATTTTATTCCTTGTTCCTTCATTTTACGTATGGCTGTGCTTTGTTAAATTATATGTGAGTAAATTCAAGTCAGTGACCGCTGAAAGTCTTTTGTGCAGGACATACCAAGGCAGAAGGCAGAAAGTGTGAACACCTTCCCTGGTTAGCAGTGTATGATTGTTACTCAGTTATACAGGAACCACGAGATTTTTCAAGGGAATCCTGAAATCTTTCTAACAGACATCATCTGTGCATATTCATCAGTAGCTTTCTTGGGAAGAAAAAAAAAAAGAAGAAATCTAGATTAAAAATGACAAGATGGCATTTTTTCTTTAAACCAGTAGGTGCTCATCTAACTGTACATTTGAAAGTGCTCCTACTTCTTCTGATCTGTTTGCTTGGTTTTGCACTTAAATATAGATAGAATTTGCCGCCAGAAGATGTAGTACAGCTAGGGTATACCAAAAGTACTGGACTGTTATAAATCCTCCAGTTGTATAAGAAAATGTCCGTACAATTCAAGAACAGTCAAACAGCACATGTAATTGAGATAAAGTAATGTTATGCTCTTATTTTTTACAGTGCATAACACAGTAATTAGAAGAAAGAAGTAATGATAAGGAAGCTTTCTACATCATTTTTGTTCCTTTATCACTTAATCCCACACCCAGCAAAATGCCATTGTCTCCCAAGGACCTGAGTGTATTGAATCATTTCCTTTAAGTGCTGGTGGTCATATCCTATCTGTGCCAAAAGAAGGAAGTTGCTTGTTTCTAAAATAAGAATAACAACAACAATGCTAAGATAATTTGTACTTACATTTTTAATCACTTTCAGACTAGTGGATGAAAATGCTTTAGTCCATACCAAGTCGTACAGTAGCAGCTAATCTTAATGTTGAGTTTACACTAGTAAACACTATCTTGCTAAAGAAGAAAGTTCTAGTGGTAATAAATACTGCTTAAGCTTAAAACAGATGATATATACTTACTCACTAGGTGCAATCCTGTCTTCTGGAAGTGGTCTAATTAACGTAGATGAGATGTCACCATGAAGGAGGTTGTCAGAGCCTTGCCTTGAATAGACATGTCATCTGGAAAGGAATGTAATGGCAGATAGATGGGTGTGTCTCTACTCAAGGATACAGAGGCCTGGAGGAAGTGTAAAAGCGCTTGCAAAGGCTGTATGAAAAAGCACTCACGTTCAGATCATTATCTGTACAATAGACTGTACGCATACAAAGATAATCATCTAATATGCAAAGGTTTTAAACATGGAAATTGCAGGGGAAAAATCATATGGTATATCTGCATAACTCTGGAGCAGGTGTTGCAATTAGCACTGCTGTCTGAGCTAGTAAAAACACCACCAAGTGACCAGTAAGGAAGCACCAAAAGAATGGTACAGAAGATAGCCGGGAAAATTGTCAGGAAAGGGAAGTGTGAACAAATCTTGGGAGTACAGGATTTCCTGACCAGAAATACAGCACATGTGGCAAAAAGTATGAGGAGAAGGTCTGCTTGTTGATGAGATGTGAACAGGAAATCTAAGGAAAAATAAATAAGTGAGAGAGGACATTTACCGGAGCAAGGAAATCTGGAAATGAAGAGCAATTTGTGGTCCTAGGAGTTGATCTTAGCCCAGATTTCATGTACAGGCTTCAACCATGAATCTCAGAATCTGCACTGATCAAAGGACAAAGATTGATCAGGAGTAGTGCCAGGAGAAGCCACGTGAAGTTCAGAATAGTGAATGCTTCTTAAGTCAAGAAACCAGAAATTCATTAAAAACAGACAAACAAGCAAACAAACAAAACCACAACCATACCTGAAAGCTTTCTCTCTGATTACTGAGGAGGGGGATTCTTCTGAAATCAGAATAGCTTGGAGACTGTCCAAGCTGCAGAAATAAACAATAATAAAAAAAACACGTTACTAAAATAAAGTTTCATGTCAGTATACTCAACATGTGATATCTTTGTGTGTGTAGTCATACAGGCACTGTATGCTTCCTATTATGAAAAGCAACACTGACGTTGGAACATTACTGCCATTATTCCTTATGGATGCAGCTACTGAGTTGAAGCAAATTTTTGTCTCATTATTATTCAAAAGTTATTCCACACACAAAAAAAATAGTTTTTTGTTTTGTTTTGTTTTGTTTGGTTTTTTTTAGAATTATGAGAATAAAATGACAATAGAAGGCAAAATTCACCAAAAAAACTGCATGACCGACAATTACATTGCAAAAAGTCTCAGGAATGCATTCTGATCACAGCTTTGGCTTCTGGTATGTACACTACTGGGCTGCAAAGAGGCAGTTGGAATGGAAGCAGCCTCACGGCTGTATCTGCAGTATCACCAGAGGGTGAGCTGGGAAGATTTGTGTTACAGCTCTGTATTGAATCCATACCTGCCAGCACAGGGATGAATCTTTTCTCAGGTATTCAATAAGGCAGCTGTACGAAACGTCCTCATTAACTCTTCTTTTTTTCCCCCCGTTCTAAAGCATCACTAAATTACACTGTGAAGCTACTACACTCTTTTAAGCATATTTTTGCTTCCAGAATATTGCCGTGAGTTTCCTGAACGACGGCTTAAAAACAAAGCTGACGAGGTAGCCAGAAGTCCTCTCCGCGTGTCACAAGGAGAAGAAACGCACCGAGTTCCCCGAGCTACGGGCAGCGTTCCGCCGTGACGGGCGGGCACACAGCCGGGCACGCGGGCGGGCACACAGCGGGGCCCGGGGGGAGGTCCGTGCCCGGGCCCCGTCCCACGCTCGGCCGTCACGCCCCGCCCGGCGCCCTGAGGGCCTCCGCAAACTTCGTGCGGGACGGAAGCGAGGGGCGGGCGGGCGGTCACGCTGACGGGGCTCGGGTGGCTACGAGGGGTTCCCGGCGAGCACAGCCCACCCCAGCACCGCGCCCCGGAGCCGGACTAAAGCCGCGGCGGTTCGGAGGATCCGAAGTTTCCGCGGCCGTTGCATAACCGCGGCCGGGGCGGGGCGGGGGCCGGGCCGCCGAGGTGGGCGGTGCAGTCGTCGGCGCGGCGCGACCCGGGGCGGCTCGGCCCGGCCCGGCCCGGGGGAGGGCGCCGCGCTGCCCGTGGGCTGACCCGCCCGCCCCTCCGCCGGGCCGCGGTCGTCGCCGTCGCTGTGAGGGGGCGCAGAGGCAGTGCCGCACCGCCGCCGCCCGCTCCGGCACGGCGGCGCGCCCCCGGGACCGCCCGGCGCTCCCTCCGCGCAGCGGGGCCGGCCCCGGCCATCGCCCGCCCGCCCCGCCGTCGGGACCGACGGGGGGGAAAATGAATCCCGCGCCCGCGGCCCCGCCGCCGGGGCAGCAGGTGATCCACGTCACGCAGGACCTGGACACGGAGCTCGAGGCGCTCTTCAACGCGGTCATGAACCCCCGGCCTAGCTCCTGGCGGAAGAAAATCCTGCCCGAGTCTTTCTTCAAGGAGCCCGACTCGGGCTCGCACTCGCGCCAGTCCAGCACAGACTCGGGTGGCCCCCCGCCGCGGCCCGCCGCCGCGCAACACGTCCGCTCGCACTCCTCGCCCGCCTCGCTCGTGGGCTCGGCCGCCGCGCCTCAGCACGGGCACCTCCGGCAGCGCTCCTACGACGTGACGGACGAACTGCCGCTGCCGCCCGGCTGGGAGATGGCGCTCACGCACACGGGACAGCGTTACTTCCTCAAGTGAGCGAACGCCGCGCCGGACGGGGGCCGCTCGCGGGGCGGGCGCGGGCGGCGGGGGCTGAGGTGCGACAGGGAGGGACGCAGAGAGACCCGGGACGGCGGTGGGAAGGAGCAAAGCGGGCCGCGGGCGGAGGAGTCCCTGCCTCCCGTGCGGCTCCGGCTTCCCGTGCCGTTCCCCCGCGCTGCCGCTTCCCGCCCGGGATCCGAACGCGAACGTTCGCGATCTGAGCTCGGTGTGGCGTTGTGAGGCGGTGCGCGGTCCGTGGACGCGGGGCTCCGCCGCGTTGGAGACGCGTTTGGACAGATGTGACAGCCGAGCCGCCTGTCCGCTGTGACTGAAGCGTCTTAGTCGCGAAGTTTGGAGTTTGGTTCAAAGTAGCTTATTAGGGCTGGAAATAGGCAGCAGTTGTAATATGTGCTAAGGCAACAGCACGTTATTTCAGTGGGTTCTGTATCTCTGCTCCGGGTTTGCTGTGGATGACCGTGATAACCTGGCAAAGGCACAGCTGCAGAATGGTTGGAATCATAGAATGGTTTGAGCTGGAAGGGAACTTTAAAAGCCATCTGGTCCCACTCTTCTGCAATACGGGGACACCTGCAGCTCCATCAGGTGCTCAGAGCCCCATCCAGGCTGACCTGGAGCTTCTGCAGGGATGGGGCATCCACCGCCTCTCCAGGCAACCTGTGCCGGTGCCTTACCACTCTTATTGTAAAAACTTCTTTCTTATATCCAGTCAAAATCTTTCAGTCTGAAACCCTTCCACCTTGTCTTGACACAACAGGTCCTGCTAATGAGTCTGTCCCGTTCTTTCTTACAGCCCATTTGGGTACTGACAGGCTGCTCTCAGGTCTCCCTGGAGCCTTCTCCAGGCTGAACAGCCCCAGCTCTCAGCCTGTCCTGGTAGAGAAAGTGTTCCACCCTTAGACATCCCCTTGCCCTCTGGGCACACTCCAGCAGGTCCATCTCTCCCCTGTGCTGAGGACTCTACATCTGGATGCAGTACTCCAGGTGTTTACTAAGAGAATAAATAGTGGAGTTGAGCTATGGGGTTGCTCACTTGTTGTCAGTCAGAATAGGCATGTCTTGAGCTTGTATGAGACTGCATGTCTGCCTGTATTCGGCCATACCAAGCACGTGATAGGACTCAGGGGGAAGGCAGGGAATGTTTTCTTCTTGTAAAAGTAACTAAGTACATCATTTACATGATTCTGTAATGATTTCTTTTCTTTGTGGCTTTGGAATCTCCAGAGAGCCCGGTCATTGAATTCCTTTGTACGATCTGGGTTGTGCTTCTTGTCACCTTCAGACCAGAGTGGAAATACATTTCTTTCTGCCATTCTGCATTTCAGTGTGTGGGAGTGCTCACAAGGGCCCAGTTTTATGATTCTGTTGTTAATCTGGTTTATCACCTAACTGAGATATTATTGCTGCACTTGGCATGCATTTTTCTCAGTAGAGCAGTACAGAGGAAGGGAAGATTATGGATAGGAGCACTGTAGCAGATTGTTCCTGAATAAATATTTTATATAAATTCTTGCTAGGGCTTGGCAAGCAAGTGTTCACACTCTGGCTATAGATCACATAACATAATTCTTGTCTGCCATTTGGCTTTGACTGATACCAAAATGCGCTCACATGGTTTCACCTTCACCTGTCCCACATTTCTGACATAGATACAGAGTGTTCCAAGATGCTGAATTCTTGTTGGGTCTAAAAAATTGTGGGTCCTGTATTTAAAGAAAGCTGTGGATAAAACCCTGCAGCGTCTTTTGTATTTTTCCCAAATTGTATCAGCAGTAATGCTCTGATTAACAGCATCCTTTTAATATGAATTTTTCATTGTGCCTGTAATTTGTTACCTAAATTGGTAATATGTTACCCATATAGGTCTATATGTTGTTTCCATAATTTTATTTCTCCAGTGAGCACTTTTCTCATTTCCATAGAAATTAATTCGAAAAAAAATTTTTTTTTTTTTTTGAACTTAATGCTTCTGGGTGTAATACCTAACTATAAGTTGTTCCTTTCTGAACCACAATATTTTGCAAGTTAAGTATTTTTTTTTTTTTAGGTGAAAATAGCATTTTCTGCAGAAATTTAAAATTGTTTATGGAAAGTCACATCTAAAGCTATGCAGTATTATGTAGGATTCAAGTTAGATGATGCCTGTAAAAAGTCCTGTTGGTCAAACTGAGTGTATTAGGTTGCATTTACCTTGGATAGTAAATTCAGGCCATGTCTGTCAAAAAACTGCCATTTCTTTCCAGCCTGATGATAAAAATTTGGTAATATTCATTAGCAAAAGAAAACTGAGGAGAAAACGAAGAGCGCATAGCCAGACTGTGTCTTGTTAAAGCCCCTGTGGTCTGTAAAGCATGCTGTTTCCTTTATTTAATCGTATTTTCAAGAACTGTTGGGTGAAAGTTGCAGTGGCCTCTCCGTTAGTAATGATCTTGGTTAGCACTGCTGACCAGGAACCAGCTACGGCTCGCAGCGCGCACACTCGTGCATGTCAGTTCCTGCAGAAGTTTTCTGGCTGGGGCTTGAAGAAACATAAGTAGCCTGGGGACCACTCCACCCTGTAATTAAATACCAAACCGCAGAAGTGGGGGATGGAAGACAGAGTAATAAACACGCACTCACAGCAATGTTATCTAAAGCATTTTTCCCTGTGTGCATGTCTGATTTATTTCTGATAAAAAGATTTCTGGAAAGACAGGCCAGCTGCCTTGTGTAGCTCTTGTGTTGGTAAGTGGGAATGTCTGTTGCCTATCGATCCACATGCAGAGCTGTGTACACATATTCAGTGAAAAGAATTTTTCAAGTATTATTTCCAGCAGTTTGTTTTTAGGCAGTTCAGCCTCATATTTGGAACAAAGACGAAGCTTTTAATGTTTTCTTAGTGTGTGTGGAGTGCTCTGTGATCAGTGTGATTTCATTCCAGGAGGTAAATAGAGTACAGTGCTTACACTGAACAGATTTGTGAAAGTCGTTGCCACTTTTAACTTTTATGTGCTTGGGTTTTTGTTTTGTTTTATTTTTTAATGGCACAGTGAACATTTGCCATACTGGAATATATTTGCCAATAAAAACCTGGTCAAGGACAGAGAGGGCTGATTGCTTTCAGTTTGTGATCTGCTTGAGATGTTTGAACTTTTCCTCCTGGTTTCTGTTGGTTGAAAAGCTTTACTTAACACATGGATGGTTCTATGTTGCTGAGCAGGTCCAGCAGAACTTTGAGACAAAAAAATAATACGGATGCCACGAGAATACTTTTTTTTCTTTTTTCTGCAAACAACAAAACTAGTAATATTAAAGCAGTTAAAGTGCTCGAGTGGTTTCCAAATACAAGCTTTCCATGAGGGCAGTTTGAGTTAGTTCTGCAGGGGCTGTGATGTTGACTGCTAGCACTGCTGAGTGCTGCGCAGCACTCCGGGCAGAGGCGCCTTTCTGCCTCGGGAATGCAGTCGTACAGCTGTAAGTGGGAGAGGAGAAGGGCAGCGCACAAGGAGGCTCTGTAGGGTTCTGGTAAACGTGTGGAAAAACTTTACACCTTCATCTATTCATACAGATGACGCTTTTATAGTATGGGTCCTCATTTGCAACTAGACAATGGTGGGCATGATGCACGTTCAGAAGGTGGGACTCGCACCAATGTGTCTTCTTTTGGTCCTTGTAGAAAGACAGTGCCAAGAGAGAGGCCATACGTTCTTACTGCTTTTGGTGTGGTGTGAGGGAGGCACTTAGGGAAGAACAGAGCTGTTGGAGTGTTTCACACACACTGTAGGGGTTTGTGTTTTCCCCCTGTACCCATTGGTTGATCAGGTGTGACTTAGTGGTCCCTTTGTGCTTGCGTTGCTGCCCTTCCTTTGTTCAAAAGACATTATGCTGTGCAAGACTGTTCTGAGGTGCAGCATTGCAAGTGATGTCTGTCTGAAATTGATGCACCTACCAGCTTATTTTAGAGAGTTCCAATCAGGTAGGAAAGCTGTGATACAATACTGCTCAATGGAAATTCAGATATAGCTGACTTTTGTGCTTCATATTAGAGATGGTTTGGGAGGTGCACAAAACTAAATTTGCAAGCTGTGTTTGACAGTGTTAGAGTGCTATCTGTCTGCTTTGTTAACTGGTCAAATTTCTGTTTTACTGATGTTTTTACAAAGCCAGAGAACTTCCTTAACTTCTGCGTGGCTTAGAATTGCATTTTATCTCCCTGTGTATACGGAGCCAACATGATGTGCAGAGTAATTTTGACCTCTCAGTTGAGGCTAGGCCAGACCTCACTCTTGGCAAAGACTGAGTAGTTGGGCTTTGTCTACGGGGCAGTAATACCATCAAATAAGTGATCAAAAAATCTCCTAAGGATCTGTAAGCCACGTTTTTCTTCTGAATTTGGTAGTAAGAATGGCTGCAGAGTTTCCAAAGAAAGTTAATAATTACACATTTTCTAATCCAGGATAGTGTCTTCTCATGATCAATGACTTATTTTCTCAAAATCTAAAACAGTGTAAGCTGTGGTGCTCAGTAAAATTCAGAGGTTAATATGATGGTTAAAGTGTGGTGTTTAATAAAAGGATAGTGGAAGTGGATCTGGAATAAAATTGCTTTGAGGACCTGTTCAGTTTACAGGAAGTGATACAGTTCCTGGATTTTCTGTGTTAGGATATGAACTGCATTTTCATTGAGTTGTAAAGGGTCAGTGAAGAAAACTCAGCGCAGGACTATGTTGACACTGGAAGTGCTGCCAAGAAGAGTTTCCTCTGAAGAAATACATAAGAGGCTTGTTGTGAAGGTTTGTCTAAATGCAGAAGTTGTATTAAATTTAGATATGTACATTCCTAAGTGATTTAGGAAATCTCTAAACAATATTTTGTTGATATAAAATTGGATATATTGAATTGATGTACATCTTTAAGCTAGTAATTGAATAATTACTGTCCGTGCAGAGAAGTATACTGGTTTAGTGAAATTTGCCTTAAGCCCACTCTTCAGTTTT